TTTCTGGTCCTGAAAAACTCTCTTAGATAAACCTGAGACATTACCAAACCTCCTCCCACTAAGCAGTTTTCTTGGGCTTTAACTTGCCCATCCCAAAAAAAAAAAAAAAAAAAAAAAAAAAAAAAAAAAAAAAAAAAAACATTCAGGTTGTTACAGAAGTTGAAGACTCTTACCTTGCAAAGTTTTTTTCTATTTTTGTAAAATATAAGCCCACAAAACGTGAGCTTTTATTTTGCACAATACCCCGTTAATGTTGATTATATGTTATTTTTTCATCTCTTACAGCTTCTGCTGGGGTTGATGCAGGCAGACAAGAGCATTATCAACTCCAAAGAGATGGCTGCTCAGCTCTTTGTTCATGAAGCCAGCCGGGTGTTTCATGATCGTTTAATCGAACCCAGTGAAAAGAACCTTTTCTATCAGCTTCTCTCAAAGGAACTCCAGAACCATCTGCAGGTGTGTTCTTAAACATACACCAAGTGGAGTTTTGCACACACAAAAAAATGTCTTCAAATATGTCTGTGATATTGATGAAAGCAACTTTTGTCCTTTAAGAATTCCATTTCTTACTTGAAGACATCGGCGAGCACAGCTTGAGATATGAGGGAAATGATCAAGCCTTGATTCCTTTGTTCATGATTCTGGCCTCTCAGAACCTCCACACTGCGCCTCCCTCTCCACAGCCAGTAGAAAGGCCCATGGGAGTTGCCAACACCCTGTCTTTCCCTGCTCCTTTGACCTTTAGCCTCCTTGCTGTCTCTTTTAATGCAGGTCACAGAGAAAATCGCAGTCAGCTGACTCTTGTCAGAGTCTTGAGGCTCAAGGGGCAGTGAGTCGGCTCTCTTCACTGCATCATCCTGAGACACCTGAGGATGATGTTAGGGGCATAGCCAAACATAGTGAAACAGAATTGTAGGATGCAAACATTATCCACAGAGCTCTACTTCTATAAATGTGCACATAAACAAATATATGTAAATATGTGTCTGACATGAATATTTAAATAGGCACATGTACCTGTATGGTTCTGAGATAATTACAAAGTCAGAGATTTTAAAATTTTTATAGACATCCCCTTTGCTATATTCTCTTTCTTCAGATTATCTGCCTTTTAATCTAGACTTACCTTAATATTATCATTTATGCTGGCCCATATCGCTCTGATTCTTCAATCTTTTTTAAAGTCCGTTGAAATACATTGGCATTTAGGACCTCAACATAATGCCTTTTCCATCTCCACATCCACCAGCCTGCCTCCTCCCATCAATTGTCTAGAATCTCCTACAGTTCTTCCCAGAATGCAGATCTTCCTTTGCCTCCCTGGAGCTGCCCTTGGACCATCTCTTCCCTAGTCCTTCGAATGGGTGCTGGATCTCCAACCCTTCTGTTCTTATCTGTCTTCCCTAGCAGCCTGAGAGGCAGTGGGATCTGGTTCCAAGGCCCTCCCTCATGAGTGGTATACCTTGAGCAAGGGCGGTGATTTCCTACCCCATAGGTCTGTGCTGAGAATGAGCAACTCTAATGAAAATAAAACATTTAGAATTGTTTCTGATACATAGTAAGTGATACATCTAAGCTATTATAATACTGAAAAATACTCTTATGTCTACATGTTAAAGATTTATTTATTTAGTAAATGTATATGGGTGTCTTGTCTGCGTGTATGTCTGCACACCAGAAGAGGGCAGTCTAAAACTATAGTTATAGATAGTTGTGAGCCCCCATGTGGGTGCTGGGAATTGAACCTAGGACCTCAGTGCTCTTATGAGCCATCTCTCCAGCCTCCTACATTTTAAATACAGGCAAGAAATTTGGTGGAAGTAATCTGAACTGAACCTTAAGAGAGAGAGGACTGTAAGCCTATGCCACGCTGCCCTGGGCATCTCCCATTCAACATGTTGGAAAGTATTCCTCATCTACTTTCATTGCGCCCTCTCCACCATCGAGATGCCCTGCTCTAGTGTTGGTCCTTGTCTCCATGCCTCTATGTATACCAGAAGTCTGAACATGCGCCCCTGTCTTCCAATCAGAATGCAAGTTAGTCTCCACAGCCTTGGCTCCTGGTCATTGGTCAGACTCAGGTCATGCCCAGCACACTGAGTTAAATAACACAGGCTCAGGAAGGCTGTTCCCCACCGTGAGTGACCTCTAAAGGAGGTCCAGCACTCAGGAATGGCAAGGTGGGCAGCCTCAGTTACACAGGATGAACAGGTCTTTAGAATTGTTGGACATAATAGTATGTATTTGAGGTGGTAAATGTGTTTTATTTAGTTTTTATTTCACATTTTAATGACTTTCTAGTCTGTACATATATGAAACTATAACTTGTCAGTTTACAATATGATCATTTTTTTAATTCAGTGCATACTTTTGACCTTTTGGTAACCTTTTCTGGCCAGTACCAACCTCCATTTAGACGGTGACTTTTCTTTGTATAAGACTTGTGGGACTTGCCTATCACAGACCTGCCTTAGCACTTTCCAATCTACATGCCTCATAAAGACAGAGTCATTGATTTATCTCTTGATAAATCTCTGGGATTCAGCTTAATATAAGCATTCAACAAATACATCTAGGATGAATAAGTAAAGAATGAATAAAGGGTGGGGCTGGCCAGAAGGCTCAGCATGTGAGTTTTTGTCCTGAAAACCTGACATCCTGAGGTCTCGCCCCAGTCCCACATGAAGGTAGAGGAGAGACCCAACTCTCTCCTCCCCCCCCCAACCAAATCATCCTCTGACTTCCACACATGCCCACACACATACAATAATAAATTTTGTTTTAAAAAGAATGAATGAGGGAATAGACAGACTAGTAAAGGAATAGTCAGAAGAGAGTTCATTGCTTCCTGTCCTGTGGGGAGCTCCTGGCCTCCCTGTGAGTGCCCCCCCCACACACACACACACAAGTCCTTTTTCACCTTTTATTATGAGGAGCAGATCCAAAGGCAACACATAATGAGGAAGCACTTTCATGGGAACAGGTTTTCCTTAGCCGCCATCAGCCCTGTGGGTGGCAGAAGCAGCTATAATTCCCCAAATTAAAGACCGTAGCAACCAAACTTTGCTTACGAACACAAGGATATAAATTATTAGCATGAGAATTAACACCTAATTAGTTGGTTGTCTTTTTTAGAGAGTGGAATGTGACTCTAATAATAGGGAACATAATGCACGAGGCGCTGTCTGGAGAGCTTTACACCCCATCCCTGCTTTAATCTTCATTCATAACGCCTCTGTGATGTAGGCCCTGTTATTATCCTCAGTTGACACAGTGCCGAGCAGAGGAAGGGTACCCAAGGTTACGCAGCTGATCAAGTGATGGCGTCATCGTCCAAACCCAGTATATCTGATGTCACACAGTCTCTTAGCCATCATGCCATTCCATCCCTGGACCATCCTTTGCTAAGCGAATGACTTCTGAACACCCATCAGAAATGTCCCGTGCTAGATAGCAAACAAGGAACCTACTAAGGACTACCGGAAGTTGTGTGGACACCGCCTGCAGCCACCTCTAGCCAGGAGCTACAGGACAGCTCGCGGGAGCTCTGATAAACCAGTGCAGGCACCTACCTCTGTGGTGAACGAGGGGGAAAGGGCCATTCGCTGTGCTGGTTTTAGAGAAGAGGAAAATTCTGAGACTGTCAACTAGGAGAGAGAAGCAGGCTTGGTATGAAAGAGAACCAAAACCAGGCAGAGTAGACCAAGAAAGGAGCTGTGCAAAGCCACGGGACTGGGGTGGTTACTGACAGCTGACGGAGGAAGAATCCTTTTCCCACATTGTCAGTGGAGCTACAGGCTAGCTATCGCCAGCCACAGAGCTCTCAGCACAAAGGAGAGTTTGTGGACAGAACTGTATTTCAGTATTCTTGGCTTCCTTTATAACATTTGTATTTTATTAGAAGCATTACAAAATATTATTTTGAGGAGGAGTCCACAAGCTTCACTTCCTGAAGGAACACAGATGTGCACGCACACACACATGCGCACACACATACACACAAATAGGTTAAGAGCCTGAGTCCTAGGATCCACCGCCAGAGGTTTCTATGACAGACTGGTCTTAGTAAAAGACAGGATTTCAATGTAAAGAAAATTTTAATTGATCAAATGCTCTCACTGAGTTCCTATTTCACAATAGGTTCCATGGAGTCCTGAAAACCTGATGAATAACCCAGTTATATTTGTGGACTTTGTGGATGTAAATAAGCCTCACAGAAAAAAGGTCTACCAGAGCACCAATAACTATGACAAACTGTTCAACATACTTGCGGAATTCCAAATGAAGTTGGGTTCAACATCTCTGGAGGTAAAGACACATGAAAACCTGAAGAGTACTAAACATGTATATGTTTACTTGTGTATATCTCAAATATTTTAAAGTGTGTATGCCTGAGGTAGGGGAGGCGGGGCGTCCCCTCGGGTTTCAAAGCGGACCATTAGAAACATAGTTGCTTGTGGTTTTCTCTGTACTGTGTCTCAGTGGCAGCCAATTGTAAAGATGGGGTGTAGAGCCGAGGAGGCTGTCGGGGATTGAATGGCAGAGATAACGGTTAAGAAACGCAGGAGAGTGTAGCAGCAGGGCCCAGAGTGGCACACACATGATGCCTGGGCTCTTTTCGTCTTGGCCATTGCTCTGATGAGCGGAGGCCTACTGAAACAGAGATGCCAACCATATCACACATACCATGGGTAACTTCCTAAGTCTCTCCCACCAGCCACTGTCCATACAGAGCGATAGGAAAGCGACCTAGATACCATTTTTCTGCTCTTCGTCCTGTTCCCTCAGCCCCATGAAGGCCCAGGTCAGCTCACCAAAGGAGAGCATGAGCTCGTTGTGAAAATCTGTCTTCTCTAAATGTTGACATAGACTGTTAACTGGATCTAGGCCACCGTGCTACTAAAAAGTCACTCTCACGCCTGTTTCCTTGCGTGTACAACCGTGATGCACACTTGATTTCTCTAACCCTGTAATTGGTTTCTTTGCTACACTTCTAGATGTCTCACACGATTGTGTTCTTCAAGGAAGCTGTAGAACATATTACAAGAGCTGCCAGGATCCTCCGACAGCCAGGGGGTCACATGTTACTGGTATGAATTTCAGTTCTTCAAATGTTTTTAAGTTTGCAAAATAAAAATTCAGAAACTCCAGTAAAATCCACATACAGAAGCTGTATTCAAATAAATTATGAAAATCCCAGTAATAGAGTCATAGAACAGGATCTTTGTCTTCATTGTTTGCAGAAGAAATTTGCTGGCACAGGGCCATGTTATTTGTTTGGGAAAGGCCCCTTCCATGGCTAAACCAGATGTACTTGGCACCACACGCAGTATGTCCTAGCATTAATCTGGCATCTACACAGGTGGATCCTGGCTTCAAAAATAGTTCACTAAGTTGGATGCTGATTTAGAAAGAGGAGCCATTGCACAAAGATGTGTTTCTTATGAGAATAAATGACAGCTGAATTAGTGGAAATTTGCAAATACGTGGAATAGAGAAAAGGTTTTAAAGAGCTAAATAAAATTCACACTATTGGGCCAGCAAGATGGCTCAGTGGGCAAAAGCGCTTGCTGCTAAGCCCAACAGCCTGAGTTCAGTCCCGGGACCCACATGGTAAAGGGAGACCCTACTCCTGTGAGCTGTCTTCTGAGCTCACACCCAGGCTATGTCATGTATGTGCACACACACACACACACACACACACACACACACACTAAATAAATAAATAAATAAATAAATAAATAAATAAATAAATGTAGTAAAACAATTTTAATCCATGATATTTAGCCAATTTGTTATTTATGGATACCATTTATATTTTATTTATAACTTTTTTCTCCAAAAAAATACTTTATCTTGCATGTAGGACAACTAGATTTTGACTGAACAATCCTTTTTTACATAGACATTTGAACAAAATTAACTAAAAGGAATTTTAGAATGAGAGAGTAGAATCAAGAAACAATACAAAGTAAATCTCCTTCCCCCCCCCCCCCCCCGGCCAGCTATTTTCTTACCAGCTTTCCCATTCATAAATGGTATCACATGAGTCCTCCCATTTCTTCTGTCTGGAACTCCAGCCTGTGGGATGGTGCTGCAGCCTGCCAGAGTCGGTCTTCTCAGTTCAATTAGCCTAAAAACTCCCGCACAGACATGCCCAAAGTTCGTCTCCAAGGTGACTACAGATCCTGTCAAATTAGAAAATACCTTAGAAAAATGAAAGCAATTACACTATATGCCTAAAGCAATAGGAAATCTATAGGTCTAAAGGCTTATACTTAAAAAGAAGAAAACTTCAAATCAATAGCCTAGATTTCTGCCTCAGTAAACTATAAAAAAAGATAATCAAACCCAAGGCTAGCAAAAAGAAGAGAATAATAACAACGGAATAGGAAAAAGCAATAGAAAAACAATTGAGGATTTCGGTGAACCCAAATGTTGGTTCTCTGAAGGATCAAGAAAATCCCCTGAGCTAGACTGACTTGAACAAGACTCAAGTTCAAATCAGTAGTCAAGGGCTATCAATGTCACTTCTACCATTACAGAAATAGGAGGGGCCACAGGAAATAGTAAATTAGACAGCTTCTAGACAGACACTGCCTTAGGCTCTTTCCCTGTGGCTGTGATTAAAAAAAAAAAAAAAAAAAAAACCCGCCCTGACACAAGCAACTTAAGGAGAAGGGTCTCTTTGGGCTCGCAGTTCAAGGTACAGTCCGTCTGTCACAGCAGGGGCATCGAGGCAGCAGGGGCTTGAAGCGGCTGGCCACGTGACACCCATAGTCAGAGGAAGGACATGGTGGATGCATGCTTGCTGCTCAGTTTCCTTTCTCCACGTACACAGCCCAGGATCCCAGTCAGGGGATAGTCCTACTCACAGTAATATGGTTTTCCTTCATAAATTAATGTCAAGATAATTCCTCTTGAGCATGCCCAGAGGCCTGTCTCCCAGATCGTTCCAGGTCTCTCCAAGGTGAGAATTAACACTGACCATCACAGACACAAACATGAAAACTGAAGAAGTTGAAAGCCCTAGTGGGTCCATCACAAATAAACAAATTTAATTCAGCATTCAGAAACTTCCCACAAGGAAAATCTCTTCTCTTCACAATTCTTTTTTGTTTGTTCGTTGTTTTGAATTTTTTTGTTTGTTTGTTTGGTTGGTTGGTTGGTTGGTTGGTTTTGGTTTTGGTTTTTCGAGACAGGGTTTCTCTGTAACTTTGGAGCCTGTCCTAGAACTCACTCTGTAGACCAGACTGGCCTCAAACTCACATAGATTCACCTGTCTCTGCCTCCTATGGTTCAATTTGGACAGCATATTGTCAGCAGTCAAAGCAAGGGCAGTTTCTTGCCCAAATGGCTAGCTTTTGCCATAAAGAAAGCAAACTCCATATGGAGGTTCTTCAATGCTAATCATTCTTTTTTTGAAATATATTGCTGCTGTCAGGAGCAGATTTGTCTCACTGTCATGAAAAGCCTTAGTTATAAACACCTTAAATGCCATATTCTGTGGGTCTTTGAAGTATTTGAAGACCATTTATCTATTTAAATATATCTGTTTAACTTTGAAAACATAGCTAATATGACTACAAGTTTGATTATTATAGATGACTATTAACACATATATATGTGTATGTGTGTTAATATATATACATATGTACATATACATATATACATATATACATATACACATATACATATATACATATATATATTGGTTTTTCGAGACAGGGTTTCTCCGTGTAGCTTTGGAGCCTGTCCTGGAACTCACTCTGTAGACCAGGCTGGCCTTGAACTCACAGAGATCCACCTGCCTCTGTCTCCCGAGTGCTGGGATTAAAGGCGTGTGCCACCACTGCCTGGCTTAACCTATATTTTTTAATTGTCATTATATTTTAAATGAGCTGCATAAGCATAATACCCCAAGAAAGAGTAGAAACATATATACAGTATAACAAAATTAACTTTAAATTTATATCAATAAGCCAAAATCTATACCAATGTAAAATATTTTGAGATTAACAGTTTTTGGATTAAAGTAGATTCAATAATATACCCTTTTATCTTATCATTTCTATATCATATCCCCCTTTTTTCTTTTAGAAAGAGATCTTTGAATTTAACTCCTTTGTCTAGCTTTTTTCCTGACTATGACCAATAACAATTTGTAACCAACCCCCCTTAAATGATAACAAATATTCATAACCCATTTTTGGGAATGTGAGCACTATTTTCTCTAGACTGCTTCCTGTCATCTGGGGTCACTGGCATCTTTGGGGAAACCTTGAGAAAATTAAGGATAATGATTAATTCTTGGCTGTAGTAGTCTGTGAGGCTGGATCATTAGCAGCCTTGAAGTTGTTCTGGATGTAGAACCCACAAACTACAACAGAGGCATTCTGAGATGTTGGGTCACCTGGGCCATCCATTTTCATTGGTGTTTGGTTGCCTTGTTCTGAAAATACATAAACTTTTAAAGGTATCATATATTACAAGTATGGAATACATGGTATGTATAAGTCAGTTAAAGATGATTTTTTGTTTTATGTTTGAGCAGGTAAAATATGCACTACATGTATTGTAGTTTTTCTAGGTTTATTTCTTTATGTCTATAGCCAGAATTTCAGGGGATCTTCCATGATCAAACCTGATCCACATTAATCTGTAATGAATCCATAGCCTCTCATTTCCCATTTCCCATAGAAATAAAAGCATAACCTCTCTCCCAAAGCAACACACCTTTTGACTTCCATTTTGAAGTCAAGACACTATTAAAATATATGGGTTGGTTTAATCTACCAGCTTTGATAATCAAATGTTTCTTAGCAGCTATCACACATCAGTAGTCAAAAAATTTAAAGACAACACAATAACATACAGGATTCAGACTCCCCATGTATTCTCCATCTTTGCTTGGCTTTTTCCCTTTATATTACTTTATTCTTTCTTTAAAGACTTTTATTATTTTTAAACTATTTTTTCCTATGACTGTCTATATCATTTCTCTTTTCTCTTTCAAGCCTATGTACATTTTTAAACACACTGTAACCTGTTTAGAGTTTTTTTTTCCTGTCTGGGTCTGCCTTTACTATGTATCTGTAATCTTTTCTGTCTGCACGAGCAAAACTTAAACCCTCCAGGATTAGTTCCTGGCATTCTGGTGGGGCTTACACTGACGGCTCAAGCCCTCAAGCAGTGACTGGGAGACTCATCTCTGTACTACAGCTAGCATGAGAGATATGAGACTAGAAAGCCTCATTTGGCTCCATTTTGGTGTGTTTAGAACCTTTTTAAAGCTTTCTCAGGTCTGATGATGTAGATGCCAGATGTTTGGGCGCCATATGCAGGCAGAGTTTCTCTGTGTCTTGGAAGCTACTCCCAAATAACCATTCAGAGACTTATTAATTATAAATGCTTGGTCGATAGCTTAGGCTTATTACTAACTAGCTCTTGCAACTATGCAAAAAATGGGTTATATTAACCCATTTTTATTAATCTATGTGCTGCCCCAAGCCTATACGGTGTAATATTATTCAGAGATAAAAATAAATAAACTGAAGCTGGAGGATGGTTGGGTCAGTAAAGTGCGTGCTGCACAAGCCTACAGAGTTTGATCCCCACCACCCAGATCAAATGCTGAACATGGTGGCGTGTACTTGTAATCCCACTACAGACAGGAGAATCCTAGGAGTTTGCTGACTAGCCAGGCTATCCTAATCAGCAACTCCCAGTCTGCAGTAAAAGACCCTGTCTCAAAAAACAAGGTGGACTGCTTCTAAGGAACAACACCTGAGGTGGACCTCTGGCCTGTACGTGAAAGTACCCTCACATGTACCTGTAAACTCATATGCAGCCATGAACACACACCAACACCCACCCAACTACCCCAACACACAAGCTATTAAGCTGGCAAAGGATATGGTGAATCATAAGGGCATATTACTAAGAGAACTCAGATAACCTGGAAAATGATATGCTTGCAGACTCCAATTACATTACATCATATTCAGAGAAAAAGACAGAACTGTGGAGATGGTAGGAATATCAGTGGTTGCCAAGAGCTTGCTCAAGAGGGAAGCTCCAACAGTTTTTTTAATGTGATGAAATTCTGTTTGATGATGCAATCATGAATGCATTATAAGATATGTCTTAGTTTGGGTTTCTATTGCTGTGAGGAGACACCATGACCACAGCAAGTCTTATAAAGAAAACATTTAATTAGGGTGGCTCACTTACAGTTTCAGAGGTTCAGTCCATTATCATCATGCCAGGGAGCATGGCAGCGTGCAGGTAGATGTGGGACTGGAGCTGAGAGTCCTACATCTTGACTCAAAGGCAACAGGAAGTTGACTGATTATCACACTGAGTGAAGCTTGAGAAAAGAGACCTCAAAGCCCACCCCCACAGTGACACACTTCCTCCAACAAGGCCACACCCACTCCAACAAGGCCACACCTCCTAGTAGTGCCACTCCCTTTGGGGGCCATTTTCTTTCAAACTGCCATACTGTATAACTGTCAAAACTGCAGAGCTTTACAGCTAAAGACTGAGCCTTAGCATTCTTTTTGAGACAGGGTCTGACATGTCACAGGCCAACCTTGAATACCCTGTGTAGCCTAAATTGACCTTGAGCTTATGATCCTCCTTCCTCCACCTCCCAAATGCTGGGATTACAGGAGTACACCACCTTATATGGTATGAGAGCATCAGGCCAGGGTTTGGTCCATGCCAGGCAAGCACTCTAAACATGGAGCTGCATCCTCAGCTCAGTGCTCACAAATGTGTGTGAAGTAATTTCATCATCACCAGAGAACATTCATTATTACCTAAAAGAAATTTTGTATGAATGAAGTGTCAGATATTGATAATGACACACTATTGGTTTGTAAGTTGATTTGTGCTATTTTTCCAGGCTATCAGTACAGTAAAATTTCATATATTTTAAGAGGCTATGGAGATATTGAATGTAGGTGATTGTCTTATAGCCTGAAATACACTTACCATAAATATTTCTAGTATAAACAAAGAAAGAAGTACTTATTGATTGATTCCCAGAAAATACACAGGCATCACTCCCTTCGTTTTTTGTGGGTGTTTAATCGTTTGTGCGTGCTAGGAATGGAACTCAGGCCTTGTCCTTGTTAAATGAGTAATATTCCCCAGTGCTACATCCCGAACTCCAAGACTTTATGAATCAGATGTTGGTTTGTTTGTTTTCAAAGATTGGGATGGATGGATGTGGGAAAGAAACTTATGCAACCTTAGCCTGTTACGTGGCAGAGCACAAAGTACACCGAGTGCCCATCGCTCACAACTATACCATCTCAGAGTTCAAAGAAATGTTTAAGAAGATGTTCATTCAAACCGGCCTGGAAGGGACCCCCACTGTCGTCATGATTTCCAACCTACAAGAACAAGTAAGTCCTGGATGTCTTCTTTACTTGCTGAAGTTTGATGCGTATGCCCACCCCCCACCCCCCAGAAGGCTCACATTCCTGTGAGTGAGTTTCCTCTTCGCACACCGTTTCAGTCGTCTGTATTCTCTGTGTTCATCCAGTCGGCCCACAGGCTGTGTTTGCAATCACGCGGTCGTACTGCGTAAACAAACACCAGAAGGATTTCCTGTCTTTGTCACTTCCATTTTAATCAGCAGATTGGAAGTGGTCACGCCCTGGAGCAAATCAGCCACTTTGTGTCAGAGCTGGTCCTGTTCTCTGCGCACGGATTGTGTGTCATTTATGTGTGTGTGTGTCATTTATGTGTGTGTGTGTCATTTATGTGTGTGTCATTTATGTGTGTGTGTCATTTATGTGTGTGTATGTGTGTCATTTATGTGTGTGTCATTTATGTGTGTGTCATGTGTGGGTGTAATTTATGTGTGTGTATGTGTGTCATTTATGTGTGTGTTATTTATGTATGTGTGTCATTTATGTGTGTGTTATTTATGTGTGTGTGTCGTGTGTGTGTCATTTATGTGCGCCGCAGCACCTTCAGGCACATCCCTTTCTCTCCTTCATCCATCGTTATCCGGGTTTTCCTTGCAGGATTGGTTTTGTTTTTGTTTTTGTTTTACATACAAGCAAAAACGTCCCCACTGTTTTGCATAAATTGTGTCCTGTTACTGTCAAGACGTAATTAGGAATGTCGCTGCAGGCCATGTTCAGTCCTTATGGCAAAATTCAAGGTGATGTCATACACGACTTGTGTTCTGACAAAAATATACTTTAAAATATCATTTAAAACCCCATCCTGCTTTTTCTCCTAATTCTGGGTCTCTGGCTACCAGGATTTTTTGACTGGATGCCATGTTTGAGAATAAATGAAGTTCTGTGTCATATCTGTCATATTTTATAAGAGTCTAAATGTTCTACTTTTTCTGTGTATCCTTCCTTTCCCCAAATCTGAACACCCTGCCCCACTGATCTGCTTGAGGCTTATCAAACAGCCTTTCTTCCTGGTTTCAAAAGATGCTATTTCTGCCATGCTTGGAGCCCACCATTCTAGTTCCATCAATGGTTTTGTGGAAAGCCATCTTAGGCCAAAGGCTTCAATGAACATTAGTTGGGGGAGGGAGCCAGAGCGACTTGTTTAAATTAAAATAATTCCTCCACCAGGCTATCTCTAGCTTTTCTTCTGGTCAGACACAGATGTGGGTCTGTTAAGGTTTCTATAAACTTCTTGACACAAGGTCTCTGCCCGGCTCACGGCCGTGCACCCCCTAACCCAGGCACTGGCATCCACTGGGTACCAAGTATATGTCTCTCTGACATATTTGAATTGATGGGTGGGTAGATAAGGCTTATCTTGATGAGAATAAATTAAGATGTCAGCTTTCGTGGTAAGTAGCTTCAGTTACCCTTAAATGCTGATGCTTTCTTGGTTTGTTTAAAGCAGAATGTATGATTTATTCATCCCTGATTAATGTATGTTTCACTTAAGGCATCATTTCTGGAAGATTTGAACTACATTGTCAATGGAGGGAAGATTGCTAACATGTTTGAAAATGAGGAGCTGGATTCTATTATTATGAGGATTAGAACCTTTGCTGACCAGTCTGATTTCATAGATGATAGAAAATATTTGCTCTCAGTATTCCAAAAGGTACTGTTTTGTGTCTTGACTTTATCGAATTGTTATGGTAAAGTTAAAGCAGACCACAGTGATAATTCTGTACATGATTTTCCACTTGTACATAATTTCTTTAGTTCATCGAATGAGTCTTAAAAATTAAAACAATAGCAGCACTCCTCCTACCCGAGACATGTCTGTCCTGGGAAGCCCAAAGACTGACAGATCTGAGGCCAAATGGCTCATTTTTTTCTAAAATGAAACCAAAGAAAAGCAATAATTGTATACAATAAAATGAAAACCTCATATCCAGATTATTTTCTACATTGAGATTCCTTCCTCATGGTAAATAAGGGTTTCATTTCCGTTATATTGGTATCAAGTCAGGAAAAGCAACAATCCTCTCACCCCTTTGAACGTCCCTAGAATTGAGCAGGAAATAAAATATATATGTAAAAAGGAAAAAAGAAAAGAAGTTGACTGCCAAGGGCGAGGAAGAGGGCCGCAGCAGGGGCCTCCAAGGCACCAACTGGACGGCAGACACAGGTCTAACAGCGCACTGGGATTTTGTCTGTCAGCCTGATAAGCCCAATAAGTAAATATACAGTTTGCCTAAGGAATGAATCATCTCTGGAAGATTTGAACTCTTATTACTGATCTGGGAAAAATACCTACTACCATCAGAAACTGAGGAAGCAGATTCTTCATCATGTTATAATGAGGATTAGATCACTCCTGTCTTTTAACCGTGACAACCCTGCATTGGGTAGCCAAGAGTGCATTGAATTTCAGCTGTAATTACTCAACCCAGACCAAAACGTGTGCTGGGGAAGAGCTGCGAGCCCACTTGTTTTGGGGGTGCAATTTTTGTATAAGGGAATTTGAAAGTTAAACCTGTCTACAGATGATCAATATGTGCTACAAGAATCTCTTTTTTTTTTTTTTCAAATCCCAGAGACAGAATCACAGTTGATAGAGAACATGATGAGTGGATACTTGGATGCCATCAGAGTCTTTCTGTTTTTCAGCTTTACCATGCTTACTTGGCAGAAAGTTGCTTTTTATTATTAATATTTTGGTATGACCTAGAGATGTCATAATTGAGACCTGTTGGACTCTGAGTCAGGCGCCTCCAGTTCTGTGGATTTGAACTGGGTCCTGGGACCAGGCCTACCAAGATCAGAACTCAACAGAAGCAGCTGAGTTGGGTCTTAAGAGCAAAGGGGGTCCAGGCAAACTTCAACAGTGGTCTTGTATTCATACTCTCATACCAGGATATTTGATTGCATGTGGTACAGCACACAAAGGGGTGGGTTGCCGAATGAAGTTTTGAATGAAATTAATATGTAAAAAGAAACTGGCAATTAGTCTAAGACCTATGCATTATCTAATATTGCCTTACCATAACCTGCTAACTCGAAGACCCTATTCCTACTATGGTCTCTCCTGGCTCTCTGTCAGCTCTAAGTCTTACTTGGAGTTTCTGTGCGTTGCTAAAGGCACACACCTCAGGGAAGAGTTAAACAGTAGACTCATCACTGTCTAAGTACCCCCCCACACACACACACACACACACCTCATGAGAGCTGATGCTGGATCCACCATCTGAAGATAACAGGGCCAGTTCCCCGGGGAAGAAGGGCTCTGGGGGGTTCCTAGTTTGCCTGGAAGAGCCCGGTCGATGGCAGACAGCGCACACACAACCAGCTAGTCTAAGAGTCTATTCATTTAGGAAACAGCTGAGACAAGTTTTAAATTGAGTTTTCAATATAGTACTGTTTCCAAAGTAGGGGATTACATTTTAACAATGTGTATATTTCTGTCGATTTCAGAGAGTATCTAAATATCTGCATATTTTTATGATCATGAGTCCTTCCGGATCTAACTTCCGCCATAACTGTCGAGTTTACCCCTCTATGATAAGCTCCTGCACCATCGACTGGTACCAGAGGTGGCCTGATGAGGCTCTCCTTATTGTGGCCAACTCCTACCTAAGAGAAAAGCTGAACATAGAGAATGATGAGGTGTGTGTCTACAGCCGATGAAGGTCATGGCGGGCGAGTGGACTTCTCAGAGCTAAGCTGTGTGCTGCTCAATGTACAGCTTGACTCTTCATGAGCTCCACGTTCACCATGCCTTCTACCCACTTTCCTCAAGGCTACCCAGGTTCTGCACTGCCTTGGGTACCTCTGTTATCATCCTTCTGTTATCAAATTTCTTTTCAAATTTTTTCTTGACAACTGGGGCTGGCAAGATGGCTCAGTGGTTAAGAGCACGGATTTACGTAGTCTGTATGACCTGGAAATGACTGGGCAGAAATGACTGTCCCACCAGAGCATGTGTGCTCACTGAGGTGTGACTATCACCAAGTCAGGTCTCAGCCTGAATTCTCCAAATTCTAAGCATAGTGGGTGTTCTTTCTACTCCGGACTGTTCTATTTCTGGAGCTTTGCTGGACTCAAACTGCCTAGAGCGTTATGCTGTTGGTAACCACTGTCAGAAAGACAAGGAGCTAATGTCCCAAGAGCCCTGTACTGGCTGTCTTATGTCAACTTCATACAAGCTAGAGTCATCTGAAAAGAGGGAACTCAACTGAGAAAATGCCTACATGAGATCCAGCTGTAGGGCATTTTCTTAACTAGTGATTGATGGGGAGGGGCCAGCCCACTGTGGGTGGTGCCATCCCTGGGCTGGTGGTCCTGGGTTCTATAAGAAAGCAGACTGAGCAAGCCTGAGGAGCAAGCCCCTCCATGGCCTCTGCATCAGCTCCTGCCTCCGGGTTCCTGCCCTGCTTGAGTTCCTGTCCTGATACCCATCAATGATGGACTATGATATGGATGTGTAAGTCAAATAAACATTCCCCCCGACACACTTGCTTTGGCCATGGTGGCTGATCACAGTAGTAACCCTAACTAAGACAAGCCCTGACTGTTGATGTACCAATCAGAGTAGAGGCTGCAAGAATGGTCTGGTACGTCATTGATACTCCATTGGCTTCACCATCCTTCCAGCCTTTAAAATTCTCATGATCATGGTGCCACCCAGGACCTGCCTGTACCATTCTGCATCTCAGAAATACTACAGTATTTCAAGTTACTGCCTGTTTTCCTCTATTTATATTCTCTGGTAATTCTTGAACATTGTTGTTCTTCAGAATATGATACAACAGTTTGCCTCAATATGTACTGAAATCCACAAAAGTATGAAAGATTTGAGCACAAAATACTTTGAAGATACTGGAAGGCACTATTATATCACTCCCAGTAGCTACTTGAAGTTTCTGGAGATGTTCACCCACATTATGAGGATGAGACAGGAAGAGATGAAGATAAAAAGGTAAAGCTTTAAGTAAAACACAAATGTGTGTTTTTACATAAGTGCTTTTATTTACAAAACATAGACACATACAAAATAATGAATTTGAATATTCCTTTCTCATGGAGGCCTTGGGGCCAACACTGTGGTGGCTCATAAGGACTGTCCACACCTCCCCTGCATGTGTCCAGAGGCCACCCCATCACAGCAAAACTGATAGATCTGCAATGAGAAATCAGCTCTTGTTAGAGTCAATCGATCACCTATGTGGACAGTGGGAGGAAGTGTGGGCAGTATCTACACAGTCTATGGCCGGAGGTGCCATTCCTCATGACTTTGGGGATAATACCAAGAGGGATGGCCCAATGACTGCCACACAGATGACTGGGGCCACGTGTCACACTGCCACAAAGCACGTGGTGGCTGCTGTGGCTGAGACTATGGGGAGAAAGCACAAGGAAAGAAGCCTCAGACTTAATTAGATCTCTGTTGTTGTTGTTGTTGTTGTTGTTGTTAGAAGATCTTTCTTACACGTTCTTTGACATGTCATACATACATATGATTCATCCTAGTCCTGCCCACCCCACCTCCTCCCTTCCCCACCCCCACCTCCCTCATCATGTCCTCCCACTGTGCTTTCATGCTGTCTTCCTTTTCTCTTGTTTTTAAATAACCCACTGAGTCCAGTTAGTACTGCTTGCTGGGACACTGACTGATCTTGCTGACGTGAGCTTGTGCAGGTGACCATAGGTGTGGTGGATCCTAAGTGCCACGGCCATGTCCTGTTCAGAAGACAGCCTTTCTCAACACTTCCCCCCATCCTCCTGCTCTCACACACTTCTCACCCTCTCCTTAGCTCTTTTTATGGTGCTAGGGGTGGAACCCATGCTCGGCAAGTACTCTGCCCCTCACTCACCCCCACAGCCCTCATATATAACCAGAAGCCAGGAGACACTGAGACTCTGTCTTATGACAACCTTCTAGGAAGACAGTAAATGGATAGGAAATCAGCCTTGTATCATCTGCTCACAAATATTTTGAATTCTCCCATGCTGGGGGATTCACGGGAGTTTGCTGAGAGTCAGAACCATTGTAGTCAAGCCTTACCTAGATGACCTTCAGGCACCATAGGACAAACAATCCAATACGGGTCTGTCGCAGGCCTATGATGTGTCCAACTAACAAGTCTTTAAAAAGAAAAGCCACCTCATCAGGTCCCTTTGGACAGATTCCATTCAGGTGGCTTTACAGAACATTGAATGAGACTAGCTATAGTGATGATGCCCATTTAGAAGCTAAACCACAGTCAGAATCCCTATCTGGAGTTGATCCATGTCACTCATCCAGGTGTTTCAAGACATACTGGCAGTTGTTCCTACTCTGCCCCAGCTGGCCAGCAGGAAGTACGGGGAAATGTGATGCTTCATCACCACTCACACCCAAGGGTTTAGTCTGTGTGTGATGAGCACATCCAAGCCTGGATTTACATAAGAAGGTAAAGGTAGAATAGACCATATTTTGCTAATGTGGGTTCAGGGTCAAATTTTCCTTGAGTTTCTGTTAACAACACCAGGTGGGGATGAACGACTCAGTATCAGTTAAACGTAGAGCAGTCAGAACCCAGGCTAAAGAAGGCACACGGTATTCAGAAATAAATCTGGCTCTCCTGCTCACCTTCCGGAGGTTTCTGTTAGACTAAGATTTCTGGGGTTCAGCAGTTTAATTGAGGTGAGGACAGCCCAGGTAAAGTGCCCAGCTTCTCTCCAGAAGAGAGTCAAGAGAGATTAATAGACCTTCCACTCCTACGTCTAAGAGCTGTGGTATTACCTCTCCCTCTGAAAGACGGCTGCCGTCCACTCTCGGCCATGTAACTGGTGTGACCAAGCCCTGTCACAAACACCTTGTGCCCAAAGTGAGTCCATTTTCTTCTTACTGCAACATGTCCTTTAACAAGTTGAGGAAATTTCTCCTGACTCCTCTTTTTATTTTTGTCATGAATTCTATCACGTGTTTTTATGCATTTTCAGTTAAGCAGCTCCGATTTTCCTCCCTTAGACTATTGTATAGGGTGGGTTGTATGTCAACTGATTGTCAAATCCTGAATCAGTCTTGACTCCTTAAAATCTAAGCCCTGCTGGATCATGGTGTGAGTTCTTTATAGGCTGTTGACCTTATTTGCTGCTCTCTGGGTGTACGTTTTCCCCTCTTTACATAGGTTGAGCACCCCTAATCTGGCATCTCACACTTGGAATGCTGGCCGAGGGAGCTTCAAAAGCTTGAGATTTTGGAGGTTTCCGATTAAGGTTGCTCAGCCAGAACATCCTAAAAGTCAAAACACCCCCTTAAGCATTTCAGCCTGTGCTGTATTGTTTCCCCTTCAGGGATCGTTTCTACAAGGGGCTCTCCAAGATTCTGGAAGCAACTGTATTAGTCACAGACATGCAGGAAGAGCTTTTGGTCATTGGCCCCCAAATAGAACAAAAAGCAAAGGTATTTTTAGTCTTAAGTCTCTCCTAAATGTTTTATAGTCGGATCCAGAACAGTGTTCGAAAGCAAAGGGTCTGCTACCTGACAAAGATGAGCTGAAATTTCAGCTTCGCCAGGATATAGCAACTTTGAATAAATTATATTTTAACCATTAAATATGATCTATGGCTTAACTAAAATTACTATGGCTGTGATAAAATACCATGACTAAAAGCAACTTGGGAAGGAAAGGATTTATTCATCATATGCTTCCACATCATGGTCCATCAACAAAGGAAGTCGGGGCTGGAGCTTGAGGCAGGAGCCTGGAGGCAGGAGCTGAAGCAGAGGCCATGGAGGATGCTGCTGACTGGCTTGCTCCTCATGGCCTGCTCAGTCCTTATACAACCAAAGACCACATGCCCATGGGTGGCACTGCTCACGGTGGGCTGGACCCTCCTAAATCAGTCATCAATCAGGCCAGTCCTTTGGAAGCATTTTCTCCATTAAAATTTGTTCTTCCCAGATGACCCTGGCTCCAATCAAATTGACATATAAACTAAGCAGCACCATAACTAATTATAGAAAATTGCTTTAAAAAGAGTCCCTAGGTAATTAGTTAAATCCCTCAGACATCTGCTATGGTAATTTGCAGCCTGTCAATTATTTTAAAAGCTGTTGCTTATATTTTGGTGTGTGTGTGTGTGTGTGTGTGTGTGTGTGTGTGTGTGTGTGTAGATTAAAACTGAGGCCTGACACTAAGAAAGCTCTGTGTGTGTGTGTGTGTAAATTAAAACTGAGGCCTGACACTAAGCAAGCTCTCTACCACTGTGGTATTCACCACCACCACCACCACCCCCTGCCCCAACTCTTACCATCTTTTTGTATATATATTCCCTTTCTGGGATTCCAGTTACACCGATGTGAGACCCTTTTTATAAAGTTATTTTTATCTCTATGGGTGAACTGCCTGCCTGTATGTATATATACATGCATGCCTAGTGCCTGTGGAGGTCAGAAGAGGGTATCAGATTCCCTAGAATTGCAGTTACAGATGGTTGTGAGCTGCCGTGTGGGTGCTGGGAATTGAACCCGGGTCCTTTGGAAGTGCAGCCAGTGCTCTTAACCACTAAGCCGCTTCTCTAGCCCTTTGTCATCTTTCTTGATGTGTATGAAATCATCTTTATGGTAGCCATCCTAATTATTCTGTTACATAGATTTCAGGCTAATTTCTATAAGTGATATAGTTATTAAATAAACTATTTTAATGTCTGCTCTAAAGAAATCATGTCAAAGTTCATTCTAAGAAAAACTGTTTGATTCATTAGGAAAAAGAACTCCTGCTAGAAAAGCTGCGAAAAGATTCACACATAGTTGAAAAAGTTCAGATGCTTGTGAAACAGGATGAGGAAATTGTGGCCGAAGAAGTGAGAATTGTGGAAGACTACGCTCAGGTGAGGTGGAGTTCAGTGAGTCCGAGCTCTGAACCTCTACATGGAAAGGCAGTGGCCCACAGATGGACAGCAAATATGTACTGAGCCCCCCCCCCCCACAGGAGGCCGGTAAGGGGAAGCAGGGGCCACAGCAGCGAACAGTCCCTACCTCAGGAAGCCTCACAGGCTGCGTTGGAAGTCACGTGAGCCATGCTCCAGGAGCAGCATCCGCAGAGAGCCAAGCAGCTCGGGAGGGTGACGGTTGGACGGCCCTCTCCTGCCGTTCACTTTGGAAGCCCTCTGCTCCCTTGTGTCGCTCACAATCACAATTCCAGCAGGAGTCGGGAGTTCAGGAGATGAAGCTTGCTCAGCTCTAGTCTCCTTACTAGTCAGTCCTTCTCAAAGAAGCAACCACGTGAACTGAAATGCATTGATTTTCCAGTCATACCCACGAGCTGCATTCACTGACTCACCTCCCAAAGCGTCACTCAGTCCTAGGCCAAGGCTCATGATGAACCACAGTGAAGGTCAACATAGATTTCAAGTTGTTCTCTGGGTAACTTCAAAATGTTTCCCTTTTTTAGGGTATGGTCTCACTGTGTAAGCCCAGCTGTCTTAGAACTTGGGATATAGAACAAGCTGGCCTTGAACTCACAGAGATCCACCTGCCTCTGCCTCTCATAAAGTCATGCATCCCCACACCTGGCTTGGCTGCCTTTTTATCAGAATTGATTCATTGTTTTTGTTGTTGCTGTTTAATGAGACGGCCTCATTATGTAGCCCTAGCTATCCTGGAACTCGCTCTGTAGACCAGGCTGGCCTGGAACTCACAGAGATCTGCCTGCCTCTGTCTCCCGAGTGCTGGGACTATAAGTGTGGGTCACCATGCCCAGTTCCTGGTCAGCACCGCCAGTCTCCCTGTGACAGAGCCTCTCCTCAAATGGCATCAGGCCAAAGCCACCCAGTGTTTCTGCTTCCCATGTGTGCTTTCTCATCAGGGATCGGATAACACGTTACATTTCGTGTATAAAACATTGCCCATGACAGAAGCATGTGTGCACATGTCTAATTCATACTTTAAAAATGTCAACGGGTTTGAGGATTTAGCTCAGTGGTAGAGCCCTTGACTAGCAAGCGCAAGGCCCTGGGTTCGGTCCTCAGCCCCAGGAAAAAAAAAAATGTCAAACCACATTTTCCATCAACATTTCAATAACTTTAAATATGAAACTGTATTTGTTCATATATAATGAGGACTGTGTGTTCATTGCAGAAAACTGCCAATGAGTTGAAAAGTGTGCTGCCCGCTTTGGACAAGGCAATTGTGGGTCTAAATGCCCTGGACAAAAGTGATATTTCTGAATTACGGTGAGTAATTGTCTCTTGTGAGTTAAAAAAAAAAATAGAACAAAAGCTTGTGGTGAAAGTCAGCATTCCAATTTTATATTAACTAATTTGTATCTACTTGGTTACTGTAAATTTCTCATTATGTGTGGTATTTATCACGTTACTGGTTTTAAGGCATGCCAGTATTTTATGGATCCTTAAGAACAGAAGCCATTTATTATAAACTAAATTTCCATCTCTGGCATGCAGAACTTTAGATCCTAGAACAGGTAGAGCATTATCTTAACTGCAGTTAGAACGCAGTGTTGATGCATCAGCATCCACTGCAGCGTGAACCTGCTGAGGAGCACTGCCGTGCCGACACACACCTCAAGGAGGCGCTGTGGGAGCACTTCTCCAAACAGTGTCCTGGGCGTGTGAAGAAAGGGACTGGAGAGAAGTGTCAGAGAAAGCCCTGGAAGAAATGAAATGTGATGGGGTACAAAGGTTTGAGTCTTTCGATCCTGATTTTAATCTTTGGGTGGGATTTTTTTTTTTTTTAGATAGGGTTTTCCTGTGTAGCCCTGGCTATCCTGGTAGAACTCACTCTGTAGACCAGGCTGGCCTAGAACTTACAGAGATCCACCTGGCTCTGCCTCCTGAGTGCTGGGATTAAAGACGTGCACCACCACCGCCCAGCCTGGGTGGAATATTTCTAACTTGAGGCTTCCAACTCAACAAGGGAAATCTCTAAATATCCTATCTTCAAAAATAGTGTTTTCAACCCATAGAACCATGGAGGCTATATATACAGCATGGAGGTCCCTAGGATGACTGTGGCTTATAATAAATTTCGGTTTTACTAAAAAAAAAAAAAAAAAAAAAAAGCACAATACCTTCTATCTGTTTCCTATGAGAATATATAAAAATCCCTGGTCTCTGCAGTTACAAGCTTGTGTTCTTGTCCAGATTTACCAATTATTCTGTGACTTTGAGGAGATCACTTTTCTTCTTTGGACCTCTGTCTCATCTGTAAAATGAGAGCAATATATTACACACAATAAACAAAGGCCAAAGCAACACATAACAATAAAAAAAAAAGAAAATAGTGTTTTAAGGGGCTAGAGATACGGTTCATTGGTTAAAAACACTGGCTGCTCTTCCAAAGGACCCAGGTTCGATTCCCAGTATCCACATGGAGGCTCATAACTTGAAGAAACCTAACTTAACATCAGTGCGGCCATGACAGGCTGCAGACGAACAATACTGGGACTAGACCTCACCATTACAATAACCAGGAGAAGCCATAAACTGTACCCTATGGGGAACCAATCAGAATTGAGACAACCAAGTACTAAATGCTCTAGAACATTTAAGGATACTTTACATAATCTGTGTACAGGTCGCCAATTTCCTTGCAGCAACGCCAGTACCAATCCCTGTTTGACAAAACTTCTGTTACCTCACTCCTGCCCAGTCAGGAGTCCAACCCCATCTGAATCTGGAATTCCCCTACCCCCCCATCCTGTACTCCTTAAAAACCGTGCTTCAATTGAGCTCAAGGCTCTCCCTGGTCCAACCACTGTGTCGGAACAGTACGGGAGCCCAAGTTCACACTTGCAATAAAAGCTCTTTTTGCTTTTGCAAGTGAACTCAGACTCCTGGAGGTCTCAAGACACGGGTATAAAAAACTATCTGTAACTCCAGTTCCAGGGGATCCGACTCCATCTTTTGGCTTCCATGGGTACCAGACACTCATATGATGCACAAATACACATGCAGGCAAAACATCCATATACATAAAATAAATGTTTTTAAAAAATTGAAGACAGTAGTGTTTTAACAAAGGCTATGGGACTATAGAGAAAACCTACCATCACCTTCATCTGTATGTACATGTGCCCAAATGGCAGGCATGCACTGCGGCGCTCGGCTTCTTACATGGGTGTTGGGAATCTGAACTCAGGCTCACACAGCAAGCGCTTTATCAACTGAGCCATCTGTCTCCCTGGCCCCAACCTCGTCTCGTGTATAACACATTATTAACTCCTAGTGTTTCAGAACAGCGGACTAGAGCATCTCACAGTTCCCGTATTAATCATAATTAATTAAAGACCAAGCGCACAGAGAACAGAGGCGATGGAATTCTCGGTATCCTCACCCACAAGCTTTCACTCTTAGTCATTTGCTTATTCATTCAGCAAACCTGTTGAGTGCAGGTCATGTGACAGGCCTGTCGGAGGCGCTGAGGTCACAGCAGCCAACAGAGGGAAGAAGCCCCTCTGATGAGATGCTGTCATGGCAGAGGACAGAGCGCTGTTTGGCAAAGGGATGGAGGAAGCACAAACCCCTTCGAAGTGCGCTGAGTGGCTCTCAGGAACTGCCAAGGACCACGGTGGCTGGAGCTGGGAGATGATGGGCGTGCCAGGAGAAGGGGATGGAGTCACAAGGGGCTTTCAGAGTGTGACTGGAGGCCAGGCCTTTCCCAGCATAGCTCCCCATACAACTTGTACCCATGGCTTCCTTCCAGAAGGTCCTATTCACTTAACTTTTGTTCTGGAAGATATTACTGGCAGAATAGCTCAAATACCCACTAATCCTTTTATTATTAATTTTAAATTTGTATCTGTTGAGGGGGCAGGACAGGCGCACCTGAGGGCAGGTTCCCATGGAGACCACAGCATCGGATCCTGTGGAGTTACAGGCATTTGGGAGGCACCCAGTGTGGCTTCTGGGAACCAAACCTAGGTCCTCTGCAAGTACAACATACGCTCTTAACCACCGAGCCATCTCTTAGCTCCCCACAGTACAGACATCCTGTTCCCTGTAGCATCACTGATGCAGTGTGAAGTGTATGGCTGGACTCCTGCCACTTCCTCACTGCACAGGCTACCCCTGAGCTTCCCTCTGTGCAGCTGGGGTGGCAGATGGCATCCAAGTGAGCTAACACAGAACAGCCTCACTGATGCTCCCAGCCCAGCAAAGATCACTCTTGCGCCGGGAAGTCCCTCTCCTCTGCCTCGGAACTGCAAGCGCTGTGTGGACCAGCAATCCTTTCGTTCTTTGCCTAGACTGTATTGTTTGCAAAGAGTCTCCCTTTTAATGTCACTTTTGTAGCTAGAACCTGGTGGGGACACAACAAAAAGTGGCTTACAATGTTCCAGTAATGATCCTTTGATCCTAACCTTAGAGTCAGATCCCTCTGCCCCTAAGCTGTTCTAGCAGTAACCTCAGTACTGGGATGAGGGTAGAGAGAAGCCACAAGATATGCATAGGGATCATGGGGCAGTCCGTCAATCTCACGGGCTGACTTACACTGTACACATGTGCATGTACACACAATGTCTCTGTGGCGTGGTCACCAGAAGGCCAATCAGAGTGACATAGGAAGGTTCCTGACTTAAAATGCCTGCGGTGGGTACTTTTATAACAAAGAATTAGTCTCTAATTCAAATGGTTTTTCAGATTTAAATTTTATGCATTTAATCTTCCTAAAGCAATGATATCCATGTACTAAAGACATTTCTTTTTTTTTAAGTGACCAATTAATAAAATGCCTCTATGTTGACTGGTACTCCTTATCAGAAAGCTTGTTAAAAATATGTATGCATGCATGCATGGTGTCTTTTGTATGGGAAAGCTGGACTTAGCTGTGTGAGTGTGTGTGTGTGTGTGTATGTGTGTGTGTGTGTGTGTGTGAGTGTAATACATAAAGCATGAAAACAGAAGGGGGATATTTAGAGAAAGGAGGGGAGCCAGTGGAAGGGGAGAGAGAGAGAACATGAAAGGGTATTGGGAGAGAGTAAGAGTGAAATGCAAACCACACATAGGGAAATTTCATAATGAAACCCATTCTTTTGTAGGCTACCTTAACCGTTTCATACAGGTAAAGTCTAAAAGTCTGTGTGTGTAATCTTCTGGGGTTGCTTACAGGGAGAATATGATTTTCCTCATGAAGCTGATTAGCTACTGACCCTACCTTACAGAGTGTATGCCCGGCCCCCCTTCCTCGTCCTGACGGTCATGAATGCCGTGTGCATCCTCCTACAGAGGAAGCCCAACTGGGCGACAGCTAAGCTGCTGCTCTCTGAAACCAGCTTCCTAAAGAAACTGATTAACCTGGACAAGGACAGCATCCCCGACAAGGTAGACACTGACAGCTAGTGAGCGCCTGCTGATGCGCTCCATACTTACGGTCCGCAGACGAAAGCGGAAGTGCTAAAACTGGTTCTGAATTCCAAGCGAAAATTAAGAATGGATTTAAGAATGAAATGTATTACAGGTGGGAGACAGTCGCAAGAGCTGAAAGAACAAGGGGGCTGGGTGAAGGCATTCATCATCAAGGCTGGCAGGATGAGTTTGATCCCCAGAATCCACGTAATAGAAGAGAACTGACTCCCACAAGTTATCCACAGACAGACCTCCTCATGTGCGCCCTGGTACATGTGTGTATACACGCACGCGCACACGCACACGCACGCACGCACGCACGCACGCACGCACGCACACACGCACGCACTAGATAGATACTCAAAGGAGAAGAGGAGAGCACGGTTTTCTCCTGAAAGTGTTCTTCTACAATCCTCGTATTAAACAGGGACAATGTTAAGCAGTCAATCACACTTAACCAGCAAGTTATGGTAGTCTGCGCCACTGGGAAGCACAGAGTTCAACACAAGGAAGACGAAGTTTGGGCAGAATGTCTGTCAGTGGTGACACTCATTCATGAATTAATGTAACAATTCACTCTCTAACAAATAATTAACAAAGACGATCCCCTGTGGTTTTCTTTAAATATATCTAAAAAGAATCACTCTTATAAAAAAAAAAAAGATAATTAAAAGCCTAACAGCATTCAAAATAATCAGAATCTATTAATAGCAGCAGGTCAGGAGTGAGCCACATGCATCTGAATTATTCAGGAAAGTGGTGCTGTTCCCAGCAAGAGAGATGCCTGGCCAGAAAACAGGAGGAAATCCAAGTCTAAGAAAGACTCTACCATTTATGGCTTATAAAGGCAGATAAGAAATTCTATATGCTTTTTTTTTTTTTTTTTTTTTTTTAGACAGGGTTTTTCTGTGTAGTTTTGGTACCTTTCCTGGATCTCACTTTGTAGACCAGGCTGGCCTCGAACTCACAGAGATCCGCCTGGCTCTGCCTCCCGAGTGCTGGGATTAAAAGCATGTGCCGCCACCGCCCGGCTAAGAAATTCTGTTTACTTAACTATAAATTAGATGGTACCACTAAGCCAATAGGCCACTTGGGGGTTGGATGTCATGCCCTCACAGTAAAGTGAACCAAGGGATTGAGGCCCCTTGCATACTAAATTTTCCCAAGGTGAAGTTCCTTTCAATATGGGCAAAGTCACTGCAACAGTGTGACAGGTGTGAAGTAGAAAGGCCCCCCATCGAGGGTCGCTTTGAACCCTAGACACAGCTGTAATGTCTTCATTGCAGAGGCGGGAAATGATTCTTAGAGAAATTAGTGACTCGTTCTAATGTGCACTGCATGCAATACATTCTCCCTAGGTGTTCCTGAAGCTCAGGAAGATTATAAATTTGCCCGATTTCAACCCCAACAAGATCGCTCTGGTTTCTGTGGCTTGTTGTTCCATGTGTCAGTGGGTTATAGCTTTGAATAACTACCACGAAGTACAGAAGGTACTCCTCACCTCCTCAGTCTCTCTCGTGATGGGCAAGGGACATAGCATAGTTCTGAACGTAATTTGTATTTATCAGTGCTCAAGTGGACCTCTGTGGAAAGAATGCCTACTGAAATCCATATGTTTTCATATGTTATGCTAATTCCATAGATTGCTTCTTTTAAATATTCGATGAAAGCTATGCTACATTTCCATGTGTTTGATTTAATATTTTGTCCATAACAAACTATATCCCTCATGTACATATATCAAATTCCAGGAAAGTTTATTTTAAAGACTGATATCTATAAATGTCTCTCAAGCATAAAGACATTTTAAACCATACACCTAACCGTTTAAACCCCTGGCTGTTTTACTCCCGTGAAGGTGGTGGGTCCCAAGCAGGCTCAAGTGGCTGAAGCTCAGAATGTCCTTCGAATGGCAAAGCAAAGGCTGTCTGAAAAACAAAGAGGTTTACAGCTGGTAAGGTTTGGGGGTTCCAGTTTTGTTTTGTTATTCTTAAATTCTCAGTGCCTTTAAGAACTACATAATATTGCCAAGGAACAGTCAACAAATCTCCTCAGGGATGAGTGTACTGCTCAGTGAGGAGCATTGTCTGGTAGCATGTGGGTCTGAGACTCCATCCCTAGCACTCAAGGGTGCAGTGTGGAGAAGCCATTATCTCAGGAGAGCGAAGTGACCAAAACTAATAGTATAGTTAGGTTGTAAACGTGAGGACTAAGTAAATAATATGGGTATGATGTGTGAAGCTCTCCCTCCAAACTACATAATAAATAAATGACAATAGTGTTAGTTATCATCATCACATAATACTATTTCACCAGATTTCTCCAAGAGATCTTTATAACTTTAGTCTATAAAATATTCAGTAAGTATCTGCCAGGCAGTGGTGGCGCACACCTTTAATCCCAGCACTCAGGAGGCAGAGGCAGGCAGATCTCTGTACATTTGAGGCCAGCCTGGTCTACAAAGTGAGTTCCAGGACAGGCTCCAAAGCTACAGAGAAACCCTAGAGTTTAACCAGTATCAACCTGGATTCATATAGTCCTCGTTTCACCTGTTAATAGTAATTATTCTGTTAATTCATAAAGTCATATTTAATTCTCTAGTGTCTAGAGCTGGAGCTAGAATGGCAGTCACCAACTTGACATTTGCCACATTCTGAGTAGATGGCAGACTATGATGCACATGGCAAACCAGCTTGTTAAAGTTGTGTTACATTCTGGGCAAAGAAAACGATGAGGAGGATATGTGCACACTCTCAAAGCTGAAAGGTTTGCATTACATCGGCTTTTGATCCATCATCATCCATTCATTCATATATTCACACACACACACACACACACACACACACACATTATGTCCATCCACTCAGCCACCTATCCAGTGAGTGTCAGAGCCTAAGCAGTCTGACTCTGCCCAGAGGCAGCAAGGACACACTCCAGCTTCTCCCTGAAACAGGCTTACTTACAACTCACAGTAGTTCAGTGGACCTGCTCAACGTGTTTCTCAAGTACAGATCCCATGGTGCTGTCCGAGCTATAGTTAACTGCCTTGGCTATATGCTCTTTATGGGAATTCCTTCTGTTATATACTTTCTTCTATTTCAAATATGTGTCTTTTGTCCCTCTGGGCCTTAATGCAGAAAACTCTGAAAGTTGTAGGGAAACAGGCCTAGAACTTACTCGTCACCCATGCCCTCATCAGAGCTTCCTTTAGGAAATGCAGTAACTACCACATAATTGTATGTTTAAGTTCATGGCTATGTCCTGTACTTAAATAACTAGATCGTGAGGAGTGAGGGAAGACAGGAGAAATTAAGAAGCAAAGACCATATCTAAAAGTGTTAACAAGAGGCTGAAGAGATGATTCATCACTGCTTCTACAGAGAACCTGAGTTTTGTTCCCAGCTCCCATGTTAGGTAGCTTCAGGGGATCTGATGCCTTCTTCTGGCCTCCATGGACACCTGCATGGATGTGCACATACACAGACACAGACACACACACAGACACACACACACACACACACACACACACACACACACACACAATTAAAAATTAATCCTACCACAGAACTATATCTCCAGCCCATAATATATATATTTTTACAAAATATATTTTTGTAAAATTTAGTTTCAAACTTTTGTAAAGAAATATCTAAAAGAGGAGAAAAAATTAGAAATCATAGTAAGCACAATTCTGTGTATACGGTTATATATATGTCGGGCCCACGTGACACAGTACAGCTTCCTGGTGGCTAGAAAGCAAATGGGAGCCACGAGAGGGACCGCGGCCTGATAGTCCCTCGGAGGGCATGCTGCCGTGATTGAACCTCCTTCCACTAGGTCTCGCTGGCTGGAGGCTGTGCCACCCCCTCCCAGTGCCACAGGTGGGGAGTAAGCCTTCAGCACACAGGCCTGTGGGGAATATTTCGTATCAAACTGTAACGCCAGCCAAGGGTGTTTTCTATGTGTCGTCTAGGGACCGCCTCAGACTCGCTTCACCCCTTCATCCTGACTCACTTATCCTCAGGTCTGCTCAGCGTATCTGGAGTGGGGAAAGTTCAGCCGTTTCCTTTCTACTACTTGTTTATTTTGAAACAGAAGTTTAAGATGTGCTCTCTTTGTAGCTGAGGATGACCCTGAACTTAGGACCCTCCGTTCTCTCGCTCCTGAGTGTAGGCATGTGTGCCAGTGCACCTGGTTTTACACAGCACTGAAGATTAATCCTAGATGTTCTTGTAGTGTGGCAAGCATGCCGCCAGCTGAGCGACATCCCCAGCCCTCAGCCATTTCCTTTAGAGAATGAATTTAGATATGACATAGAGTTATCTTCGTGAACAAATAAATTAGAAAATGGTGAATCTTCAAATGCTTAGGGTTCCAAGAAGAGCTTTTGCAGAAAGCAGACGGCATTTCAAGCACTTCGGGGCAAGAGAACCACTTGCTTCTGGGTGTCCATCTCATTGTCCATGTAATCCATATGGGAAGGTTTGCTAGGACCCGAAAGGGAGGTGGTTTCGCGCTAAAAGGCAAGAAAAATGACAAGCTGTAGACCAAGTAAGAGCGAGACGTTTTCTCAATGACGAATTAATTGTCTTTCAGATTGAAGAACATTTACAGTTTCTACACACCTCCTACAGAGATGTTATTGTTGAAAAACATCAACTAGCCAACCGGAAAAAGCTGGCCACCAAGCGCCTGCAGTGCGCGTCCGTCCTGCTCACGGTCCTGGAAGACGAGAAGGCAGGGCTGCCCTTGGCTTTTAGTCTCCTTTCTGGTTTCCACAGAGGCAGCTTGCACTTAGAACTTGACTCACACACTCCTAGAACTGCCCCGGCATCCGACCTCCTGTACGGATCTCAGTAGTCTTACTCCAGTGAATCCAAGGAGTCCCGTCAGGTCCTTAGCCAGGGCTCTTCTCCCCTGTGGCTAAGACAGCAGCCCATTTCTGTCTGACGAGGCCCAGGGGGAGCCTTCCAGTGGCCATGCTGAGTTGTTCTTCCTCAGCCTGGAACAATGCAGGTGGAGGGAGTGGACGGAGACAAAAGAAAATAGCTATCATTGGAGTGGAAAGCGAAAACTTCATGTTGCCCCGTTTTATCTGATTTTTAAATTTTTCCAATCCACTCCTAATAAGCTGACTAAAATCTTGGTTTAGTTACACTGCACCTACCCCAAAGGATATTACAAAATCCTCTAGATAACTTTAACTTGTTATAATTATTTAAATTAATATATTGTGGAAGGCTCTTTAAGGACAGCAATATGGTTGTGGTATAAAGTCATACCAACCAGAGGGAGATTGCTGTCCTCAAAACTTGACTGATGTCCCTAAGCGCCCAGTGACTGCTGAGGGGGGGGGCTGGCACCAGCACCATTCCTGCTCTTCGGAGCCTTGAGGAGTGAATTTCTGTTAACCATGCTTTCTCCACTGACCAACCAAGCACATGCACGATGATCTCTGCACTCCAACTTCCTCCTCTGAACATGCAGTGAGTGGCGTTTCATTTATTTATTCATCCATTCATTCATTCATTCATTCATTTATAAGGCTCACTATGTAGCTCTGGCTGGCCTGGAACTCACAGAGATCCACCTGCCTCTGTCTCCCTGCTGAGATTAGAGATGTGCGTCACCAAGCCTGGCTCAGTAGCATTTTTCTAGCGGGATGGTGAAGTGGCAAGTGAGAACCTCACAGTGCAGTGTCTGCTGACAGTGATATTCAGCAGATGGTGGGGTGGGGTGATGGAGCATCAGTAACCATAGGATGTGATTTTGTTGGCTTGTTTTATGAGACCAGTTCTCATGATGCAGCCACAGCAGGCCTTGACTTCCTTATCAGAACTGGTTTTCCTCTCATAAGACAGTTCTTTGACAGGGGCAGGGTAAGCTTTTTGTAGTCTGTTCACTTCTGTTTCGAAGCTCACAGAATTCTTTCATTTCATCTGAATGGGATTTTCTCCAGATCACAATAAAAAAAAAAATAGGATTGCCAGGTAGTTTTAGGTGGTATGTGATAAAGGCCCTAGAGAAATCCATCTGAGGGCACTGTCGCCCTTGCTGGCCCAGAATTGATGCCAATGCTCCTGAGTCAGCTCTGGAGCACCGAATTTGCAGACAGGTGCCACCACGCCCATCCTGGCCACTATTAAGTGTTATTCACCGTGTACAACTTGAGAATGGTAATAGTGATAGCAATGATAGACCAACATAGAGGCCACACATTTTTAAAGTATCTCATTGTGTTAGGCTAGGAAGATGATTCCATTAAAGTGCTTGCTACACAAATATGAGCAACTGAGTTTAGATCCCCAGCACCCATGAAAAGTACATCTGGACCCCAGGGCTGAAGGGAAGAAACAGGCGGGTCCTGGGGACTTGCTGGCCAGCTAGTATAGCCCAAGTTGATGAGTTCCAGGTTCAGTGAGAGACCTTGTCTCCAACAGATAAATAAGTAAATAAATAATAGGAGTAGGCTAGGGAGATTGCTTAGCGGGTAAGAACACTGCTGTGCAAGCATGGGAATCTAAGTTCAGATATCCAACAACCGCGTAAAAAGCTGGGCATGGCTGTCCTGCATGGTTGTAGCCCCAGCACTGTGAGGGACAGAGACAGGAGGATTGCTGAGGAGGATTTCTGGGCTGCCAATCTAACCAAGTTCAGTGAGAGACCCTGTCTCGAGGGAGTATGATAGGGATAGAGCCAGACACCTGAGGTGGCCCTCTGCCCTTCACCGCAGACCTGCACATGCACACATGGCATATGCTCACACACATACATGCATGCGCACATGCACACATGGCGTATGCTCACACACATACATGCATGCGCACATGCACACATGCGCACATGCACACATGGCATATGCTCACACACACACATGCACACATGCACACATGGCATATGCTCACACACACACATGCGCACACACACACACCAAAAAAGTCAAATAAGATGGAGAAGACTAGAGGAAGACATCCCGTGTGTGCATGTCCACACATGCGCGCACAAATATCTACCACACACATAAATATTTCATAAATAATTATCAATTCAATAAACTGATTTCTATCTTAACGTTTAGATTCGATGGCAAGAAACAATCAATGAAATAGACAACAAGCTGAAAGGCATCTGTGGTGACATACTTCTTTCGTCCGCATGCATTGTCTACGGCGGAGTCTTAACGCCGGAATTCCGCCAGCTGGTGATCGAGAAGTGGGAGGACTTCTGCACTAAGTACAGAATTCCCCTGTCATCCAAATTCTCCTTAATGGAAGTGATGGCGGAAAAAAATGAGGTAGTAACAGAATTCCGTTATCCAATTAAGTGGCTTTTGTTGGTGGTTGGATTGGGGGAATGTGTGTTGGGCATGGATGTTTTTCCTAAATTATTGTGACAAATGAAAATATTGAAGTTTTTCAGCCTTTTATTCTTTCTTTTTTAACTTACAGATCTAATGCCTCAATTTTCAATATTGGTCCTGTTTCTCTTTCTCTAATAAATCCACAAAATGTTCTTTTTTCCTATTGTAATCCTACCCCCCTGCTGTAATGAATCTAGCCAGTTTCTTTCTCTAAAACTCCTTTTAGTAATAAAATTAGTGCAGATATTGAACCATGGGTGCATTCTTAGCCATAGCCAAAAGCAAAGACTTATATTTACCAATAGATATCTATTGTCTATTTATATAGGTCCTTTGTGAGTATTTAAAAGATTGGAAAAAAGAAATCCCTACTACTATTTAATCCTTATCATTTTAGATCAGCTTCTTCAGTGATAATGCTACTTAAATAGACCTTACAACCTATAAGGTCAGGAGGAAATACCATCCTCTCCACTTCATAATGAATGACCATCTAACCACATCTAATCACATCACTGATTGCATTAGATGTATATGAACTAAATGCTCCAGTTTTTAAAAGTCTAAAATCACAAGAGCACATAATAGTTTACGCCAAAGCACAAAACAGAAGCCATGTGTTATTTAGAAAGAACACGTCTAAAACATTAAGATTGGGAATTTTTTAAAAAGGAGAAAATATACCACAGATTACAAATAGATGAAACTGTCTCTGTGGCCCAGAAGGGACTACTAAATTATCAAAGCTTAATTTGCACTAATAATGGGTTTAATTCTCCAGAACTATATTAAAAATTCTAAATTTGTTTATTGATAACATGACTTCAAATATTAAGCAAACATTTTTAATTCATTCATTTATTTTACATCCTGACATCAGTTTCCCCTCCCTCCTCTCCTCACATTACCTCCCCCAACCACCCCTCCCTACACCTAATCCACTCCTCTGTTTCTGTTCAGAAAGGGGCAGGCCTCCCATGGGTGTCCACAAAGCATGGCATATCAAGTTGAGGTAGAACTAAGCTCCTCCCCTTGTATTAAGGCTGGGCAAGGCAATCCAGTATGAAGAATAGGTTCCTAAAAGCTAGCCAAAGAGTTAGGGACAGGACTGCTCCCACTGTTAGGAGACCCACAAGGGGACCAAGCTACACAACTGTCACACATATATAGAGGCCTAGGTTGTCAGCCCAGTCTTGTGAGCTTCTATAAGCCCAGGTCAGTTGTTTCTGTGGGTTCCCTTGTGATGACCTTGTCCCCCTGGCTCATACAATCCTTCCTCCCTCTCTTCAGGACTCTCGAGCTCAGCCAAGTTAAGCAAACATTTTAAAAATTAAAAAATATAGAGAAAAGAGATAAACCTACTGGAGTGGCTTGAACGATCTCTCCTCCATACGCTCATATATTTAAACACTAGGTCCCCAGTTGGGTGACACTTTTTGGAGAAATGTTGCGGGGGTGTGCAGCCTTGCTGGAGGAAGTCTGTCACTGGAGGCATGCTTTGAGGGTAAAAGGCTTTGCCTACTTCCAATTTGCTCTCTCTGCCTCAAGCTTGTATTTGAGGAGACAGCACTCCGCTTCCTGCTCCAGCTTCTGCGCCTCCTGTTTGCTGCCACGCCCCCGCCATGAAGGATTCCTGAAGTTCGCCTAAGCTCTTCCTCCCATAAGTCACCTTGGTCAAAGTGTTTTGTCACAGCAGAAGAAAAATAACTAATACAGAAGTTGGTGCCATAGAGTAGGAAGCTGCTGTGAAGAACCTGGCTGTGTTCTTTTTTTATAGGCATGTTGAAGAATTTGGGACTTTGGACTAGAAAAGCAGTTGAATGCTATAAACAGAGATTAATGGTCCATTCTAGTAGGTAACAGGCAGTCAGTAATGCTGAGACCAGCGTGGCTTCGGGGGGACTGAGGACTTTAATGACAATTAAGATGGATGCCACCCCTGTGATAGTTTGGCAAAGGAGCTGACTGCCTTCTGCCCGTGTCCCGAGAACTTGCTGAACACGAATCTGAAAAGTGTTGGAGAGAAGGGCACACTCGTAAGCTCGGCATCACAGCCAAGGCACTGCAGAGGAGGCTGCAGCTGTTGAGGAAACCTGCACCATTGAGGAGAGGCCTGATCTACACTGGAGCGGAGGGAGGGCAGGCTCCAGCCAGCTGAGCTTTCAGCTTGATAAAACTAAGGCCTCAAGGAGCCTTGTGCTCCCAGAAAGCAACTTCAGACAAAAGCTGCTGATGCGGTTCAAGGGGATCAGGTTCACCCCAAGGCAGCCAGCCCGGTTCTGACTTTAGAGGAAAACAGAAGTGCGAGGCAAGATGAGGCCATGCAGAGTGGGAGGCTCATCAAGGCAGAGTTAGCCCCTGAGCCGAGTCCTGGATGTGCATCTCGTTCTGAGAGTGTGGCCGTGGGCACATCCCTGGACTTCCCGCCTCAGCTTCTTCATCTGAAAAGTTAGAGTGTTTGTAGAAATTTAATGAGTTAATGAGTACATGTGCTTGATAGGTGATGAGTGAGAAATAGAATCACTGCCGTGGGTTTTCATAGCTCCACATGATTGTGTGTTTCCTATAGGTAGAGAGCCTGAGAGTCCTGGAAACAGGTCCCTGCTTTATGTTTATTTTCTGTTTCCACGGTGTCTTAAATTACTTACCAAAACAGAAATCCAACTTGTTTTATTGTTTGCTCCATTCATCTTTATAAGGATGATTTGTCTGAAAGCAATGATTGTTTAGGGTCCTTCATGACCCTTCACAGGACCTGAGCCTGTGCAGAAGTTTCTGAAATAGTAAAAAAATACCAGTGTTTCCATTCCAGATCAGCCGGTGGCATAATCAAGGCCTGCCCCTCGGTCAGCACTCAGCAGAAAACGCCATCTTGATAAAAAGTACTCAGCAGTGGCCACTGGTGATTGACCCCCACAAGCAAGCCCTCCACTGGATCCGCCAGATGGAAGGGCCGCGGCTACAGGAGATTTCCGCTGAAGACAGCCGTCACCGCCAAACAATCGAAAATGCCATGCAAGCAGGGGGCTGTGTCCTCTTGCAGGTATTCGGACGATGGAGCCTAATTTCTTCTTTCTATTGCACCCTTGTTATATGCAATGAGCATAAATGTAGAAGTTGTAAGTGTTCAGGATCTTTGTCAAACAAATGTATACATAATTACATTTGCATGCATGTACTATATATGTGCACACATGCACATAGTTCAGTTCTCTTATGGTATCAATCATGTGTCTTTTCAACTGATTTATCTAAGACATTTTTTTTTTTTTGGCATCCGTTGGACTTTTTCAGAATGTGCCTGAAGCAATCCCTCCCAGCTTGAAGGCAATTCTAAAGAAAGACATTTACCAGAAAAGAGGGCACTATTACATCAGAATTGATGATTCTGAGATTGACTATGATGAAAGGTTCAGGTAATGCTTCTCATAATCAAATCCAGTCCTATGTTTTATTTTTTAAGATAAGGAACATTGAAGGCCTACTGCACCCATCCTGAGGAGTGTGATCCTGAGGGAAAGGGTGGTTGTATCATCAACATTCCTTTGGGTTTTGTGGTTTATGGCTGTCACCCACGTTCAGAGAGTGGGTGTTATTGGTGTTGTCAGGCTGTATGTGATGGGGACTGTGACCAGGGCTGAGCAGGAAGTCAACAAGCTGGAAGCCTGGCCCGCTTAGTCCCGAGGAGTTTGATTTGATCCCCTTGACCAACACCAACACAGGCACGATAAGCTTTGGCCACTTTAAAAAGCAAAAATCCAGGCCTGGAGTGGTGGCTCGGCCAGTGCTTGCTGTAAAGCATGAGCGTCCAGGTCCAGAAGACACGTGTGTAAAGGGTGACATGCATGTACAGTCTTAGCTTGGGGAAGGCAGAGGCAGGCCAGTCCCTAGAGTTCAGTGACCCTTCATCCTTGCCAACTGAGAGAGTCTGTCTCAGGAAATAAGGTGGAGAGCATTTGGGGAAAATACTTGAAGTCAACCTTTAGCTTACACACACACACACACACACACACACACACACACACACACACACACACACACACACACACACACACACACACACACACACACACATTTATATTTAGTAAGAACAAAAATAGATTTTGCCCAGGGAGGTAGAAGTACTAGGAGGGACAATTGGAATCCTTAACAACAGAGACTTCTTTGCCTCAGATGAGCACCATGGAGGACTGGGCTCCTAGACAGCCAACATCCACCAAGGCACTGGGGCTAGTGGAACTGGAAGTCCTTTGTCTCTTGAACTGAAACACTGCATTCTGTGGGAAACAGCAAGGGTGATTCTTGGAGAGGAATTCATCCTGGGTCCCTGGGGGAGACATAAGAGACAGGTCCCAGAGTTCCATATAGCAAAAGCAGGTCACAAAGCTGTGTCATGGTCAAGGATCCTTCTGCAGGGGCTCATGTAGGTCACACACTCATCTCATCACAGGGGTTCATGTGTCTCAGTAGCTTCGAGAGAGATAGCAAGGAGCCAGAACAGTAGCCAGTGCCCCTAAACACATGCCATGTTCTGGCTTCTGACCAAGGCCAGGAATCAGAACTACTCATTTGAAAGGTCCCTGCCCCTAAACCGCCTGGCTGGCTTCTCTACTGCTCAGGGTCTGAGGCTCCAGCAGGAAGCCACCTCCTTCCTCCAGGCAGCTTCTCGAAGAACTATGTTGTGGTGACATTTGATGACCACAGAAACACAGTTCCTGAGGAAGCCTTTGGGGCTGTGTGAGAGCCTTGTCTCTTTGTGGGCAGAGCCATGGGAGTCATAGGTAACTGTGGCCAACTGATCCCCAGAATGGATGTCTCCCAGAGGGGAGGAGGGGGGTGATGCTTTAAAAGACAGACTTGTGGACAGATCTCCACTCTCTCTGGCCATGCCTCAGCCTCCCCTTTTAAAAGTGGAGTGGACATGCCCCTGCTCTTCTTAGTTGCTATAAAAACAGAACAAGACCTAGAATCTCATTCCGTCTCACTACCTGCTCTAAACCACCACCGTCCTTCCTGCCCTTCCCTGCCCTGCGCCCAGGCTGTCCTTCAGCCAGAAAGTCCAGTGGCTCCAAAGGAGCTGCCACCTCAGCCCCAACCCCCCATTGCCTTACAACTGCAGCCACAGAAACCATTCTTTACAATGATCTGGTGACATCCAAACTCTATGACCATTTGTGTTTACCCTGACCTTATGCTTAAATCTAGTAAGGATATAATTTATGGCTGTTTTTAAGTATAAACACAGACTTGTTCACATAGTATAAATGAAGATCATGCATTGAGTACAAAACTGAATAACACTAAAAATGAATCTTTTCACTTCCAGAACGATATATTTTATATTATTTAAACATTTGGTTTCATCTTATTCTTCTGTAAGTTCTTTGAATAACTAATGTCTCTCTTATTTTTAGGTTGTACTTATCTACAGGACTAGACAACCCCCACTTTTCTCCATCAGTTTATAACTTTGTTACGATTATCAACTTCACAGTAACATTCCAAGGCTTGCAAGATCAGCTCTTATCTACAGTAGTAAGTCATGAAGTTCCTCATTTAGAAAATCAACGAGCCCAGTTATTAGAGAGTATTTCTCATGATGCTGTAACTCTGGAGGAACTGGAAGATAAAACATTGACCATACTGCAGAAAACAGAAGGTGAGGAAAAATACTGAGTATGATCAACAAACAAAATAAAGCAAAAGTCCAAAGAAGAAACCATGAGGTTATTTTCTGAATTGGTACCCAAAATGCCAAGCCTCCATTGCTACCAGATAACCAGTTGGGACGGGTGAGTCCCCACCCACCCATGTCTAAATTTCACGTTGTGAATCTTGATGTTCCTCAGCATCCATGTTTGCTTAGTTCTTTCTATACACATTCGACCACCAAACACTGCACCAAAAATTTTAAGCAGATCTCTGGCCATGGGGGAGGTGCTTAGGGTCACCAAGTGTGTTGATCCTAAAGGACTTTTTACAGAGAAATAGTCATGTGACTCTTAAATATCACATTAAAATGTGGTATTTATTAGCAAAGAAGTCAAAATTGTTTTCCTCTTGTTGGAAGAATATCTAAGAATATTTTTGTAGCAATAAAACATAAGTTGATGTCAACTTCTTCCTGGCTCACACTGATATAACCAAACCTAGGTCAACTGGGACAAAACACAGTTTATCTGACCCTGAACTGTCTCTGTGTTTTAATTTGTGTCTCATTAGGAGACATAATATGTTTCTCAACTACATTAGTTCTCAAGGTTACATATAGAAATGCTCTATAAACTTATTGCACTTATTTCTTGTCTTTTTAAATATAAATATCCAGTGAGCACTGTACACGTTTGCCTGACCCTGAACTTCACAGACAGGTTCTGGCTTCTATTGACTTTTTTGGTTGACTTTTTAAAAGAAGGGTCTTTCTAAGTAGCCCAGGCTGGCCTTGAGGAGGCCTTAGCCTCCTGAGTGCTGGGATTGGAGTCTGGCACCACCACATCCAGGTGTATTTACTTTTAATATTCACTGTTATTAATTACTGTTTGTCTAAGGGTCTATGCCCTGGAGTAAAAGCCTGGTGTGACCAAAAACTTGACTAAAATAAGCTTTAAAACTAGGGGGCTGGAGAGTTGGCTCCAAAGTGAAAGCCGTGGCTGCTCTTCAGAGGACCTGGGTTTGGGTCCCAACATTCACATGGCGGTTCGCGACCATCTGTAACTTCATTTCCAAGGGATCTGGTGTCCCATGTGGTACACAGACAGACGTGCAGGCAGCAAATTCATGCATGTAAGATAAACATAAATCTTTAAACTAAAACTTAAAAACAAAACCCTATCAATAGTAGTAAGTACGGCTGCAGCTTTTGTCTCCTGACGTCACGCCAGGGCCTTTTCTTTTGTCTTTTTTTCACCCTGCGGGCCCTTTGCAAATGTATTATGGCTTCTAGTTTTGTGCTTTTGATGGGATTTCTGAGTGTGCAAGTGAGCGTGTCGCTGTGGCTTTAACTGTTTATTGTGCCTTTTCGAGGGCTCTGTTCCTTCTGTGTGTTGTGGCGTGCTTATATTTTATTTTATTATTATCCCTTAGAAGGCAATTTGCTTTCTAGTGAGAGACAGAGAGGGGGGTCTATCCAGGCGGGAGGGGAGGTGGCGAGGATCTGGGAGGCGTGGAGGGAGGGGGTACCATAATCTGGATAAATTATATGAAAAAAAACTATTTTTAATAAGAGAAAAAATTAAATAAAAATTTAAAAAAAAAACAGAATTTGACAAAGTTTGAAGTACTTCTAGGAGCTATGCAGTGTCCATAAAGGGCACTTCGTTCTGTGAACCACTCATATGAAACAAGTGAAAATAATTCAATGTCCATCAGAGAAATACCTGCCTCTATTATGCCTTTGATATCTATGCCCTACCAGATTTTTGTCTTATTAGAGGATGAGATCGTTTTAGCTGCTAACATTTACTAAAAATCCAGACATGAGCCTGGCAAAAGGCTCGCAGGGAAAACTCTCACAGTGCCCAGAGTGGGAAACAGCTACTGGCCATTTCAACGGGTTTTGTTTAAATTCACACTTTATTCATTTTTTAGGAAGTGTGTTAGATGATGAAGAAATTGTAGAAAATCTAACAAAATCCAAAATGACTTCAAATGAAATTTCCAAACGTATCCAAGAAACAGAAAAGGCAGAACGTGAAATTCAAGCAACTCGCAAGAACTACCTCCCCATAGCCACCCGGGGCGCCCTGCTCTACTTCGTGGTGGCGAGTCTCACCCAGGTGGAGTATATGTACCAGTTCTCCCTGGAGTGGTTCCGGCAAGTGTTTGTTTTCTCTACAGTTTCCAAAACCAAAGAACAAAAGCATGATTGGAAAATGGACGAAACATCTTTGGAAAAAGTCAGTGAGATTTCTTTAAGTGTCTTAAGCCAACAGAATCTGAAAAGTGAGAGGGATACCTTAGCAGAGCATACTAAGAACGCAACAGATGTGCTGACAAGAAACGTGTTTAGGGTAAGCCATCCTTTTACTATGAGTTTTTCCAACACTACCTCTCGGACTCAAGTAAGGGTTGTGGTTTCTCTAGGTGGTCTCTGCAGCTCTGTTTAATGAGCATAAACTCTGCTTCTCCTTCTGGCTTTGTGTCTCCATCATGAGAGAGAATTCCAGTGATGCTCTGATGGCTGATGACATAGGATTCCTACCAGAAGAAGAATGGAACATCTTTTTGTATTCTGGCATTTTGATAAATATTAAAAATATACTATCCAAGCCTAGACTGAATAGTAAGTAAAAATAATTTCTCTGGATACGGTTTTAAAAAACAAAAACACTGAAATATGTTTCCTTGTAAAATACTAAAAGATTTCGAGGTTTACTTCTGTGATTGAGGTCAAATTCCATGTCAGAGTCACAAATGTGTGAACACGCAGTCAGCATGTTCTTTCTTTGTTTATGAGAAAACATTTCACTGTATAGCCAGGCTAGCCTAGAACTCATGATCCTCCTACGTCGTTACTGAGTGAATGCCTAAATAAATCACAACTGGTAAGATGGTGGTGGTTGCCGGGCGGTGGTGGCGCACGCCTTTAATCCCAGCACTCGGGAGGCAGAGCCAGGCGGATCTCTGTGAGTTCGAGGCCAGCCTGGGCTACCAAGTGAGTTTCAGGAAAGGCACAAAGCTACACAGAGAAACCCTGTCTCAAAAAACCAAAAAAAAAAAAAAAGATGGTGGTGGTCCTGATGTAAAGCAGACTGTCTAGCGGTAGTGGATAGGGACACGCACACTGATCATAATGCCCCCGGGCCCCTTCCTGCCTGATGTGTCTTCCCTTACTGTTGCCTGTCTGTGGTGGTCTGGATGAGGACGTCCCCAGCCCCCCTGGTTGACTTTATATGAAGTGGCTCTTTACTCAACAACCAGCACTTGTTAGTTAGCCCTCTGTAGCGAGTCCCTAGGTGAAGGATTTCCTGTGACCCTTCTCCCTTCTCCGTCAGGTATATTTGAAATCCGCAGAAAGGAGCATCTGCAGTGGGTGCCGGACCTGAGGTGGAAGCAGTGCCAGTATATCAGCAGCCAGATGGAGCCCTTCTGCCTCCTCTGCAAGTCGCTCCTGTCCAATAAGTGGCAGTGGAACGCCTTTAGGGACACCAAGGCCGTGTACTCTTTCCTGGGCAGCCCGTTCTCCTCACATGGGGCTTCACTTCAGGAAAGCCCCAGATCACCAGAGGAGGGTATGGGCCTTCGCGCTCTAACCTACACCTAGCAGATGTGTGTGTGTGTGTGTGTGTGTGTGTGTGTGTGTGTGTGTGTGTGTGTGCATGTGTAGATCGTCAGTGTGTAAAGGTGGGTCACAAGAGGCATGCCTAGCCCTTGAAGGCAACGGCTGGCAGATCGCTTGAACTCAAGGCCAGTCTGTAGGATAGCCAGGGCTACACAGAGACACCTTGTCTTAAAAAACAAAAAAGAAAAAAAGGGGGTATGTGGGGGGGGGGGGTAGATCATAACAAATAGAAATGAAGAGCATTGATATGTTCCGTGTGGCATGATCGAGTCAACACAATCCTCACAATAAGGAAGTGGTTTGTATGAATTTCATTGTTAAAGGTCAGAAACTGGTGTGAGTTCTGAACTTTGGGAACATTAAATATATCAGCATATCATTACAGCACTCTGGTTCTGAACCTTGCATCTCAGAAAGCCTTCATAGATCCTAATTTTATGTAACAGACGTGGTCTAAAAGCTACACAGGAGCTGGACATACACCCGGTGGGAGAGCACTTGCCCAGCAGGCCAAGGCCCCTGCACGCAATCCCCGGGACCACAAAAAGAAAGGAAAGATACCCATGAAAAACGTAACAAGCCCAGGGAAGAACTGCACAGGAAACAGATCTGTTTGTTTGTGTTTTTCAAGACAGGGTTTCTCTGTGTAGCCCCGACTGTCTGGAACTTACTCTGTAGACCAAGCTGGCCTCGAACTCACAGAGATCCGCCTGCCTCTGCCTCCTGAGTGCTGGGATTAAAAGTGTGCACCACCACCACCCAGCACAAACAGATCTTTAAGGGCTGTCATCTTGTCATATTTTCTCCTCTTCTATTCCTGCTTTGAGCTCTGCACCCCCTCTTTCTCACCCTTTTGACTATGATACCCCCACTTGGGACACAGCCTGGTCTGTTTGCTGCCACATCGTTCTCCATTTTTGCTTGCAGAGTTTTGTAATAATGGACAATAATGTAGTCCAATAGTGTCAATATTCTCACACCTACTTCCCTTCTGTCGGAAAGGGAATCCCAGTAGAAATGCTGGTCCGATGGAGACACCTTTCATGTGAGAAGTCCCTGCCAGGATGATTTCTTTAAAAATCTAAATTATGTATTTTCACCAGCAGTGTGTATGCCCAGTCTTCTTGAAATTTGTTATAATCTTTAATTAAGTGTGAAGGCATGTACATGTAAGTGCAGGTGCCCACAGAGGCCATAGGTATCCTATGCCCCTGGAGCTCAAGTTAGTAGGTGCTTATGAGTCACCTGATGTGGGTGCTGGGATTCAAACTTGGGTCTTCTGGAAGAGCAGTGTGTGCTGAACCACCGGGCGTCTCTCCAGCTCACCTGCACATTTCTAAAAGAAGGCTTCATCTTTTTTGAGTTGTACCAACCTGAAAAGTTCAGAATACTTCCATTTTAATTGCCATATTAGCAAGTAACTTTTTAAGGGTTATTGGTGATTTCATTTGTCTATTCATACATATACTTTACTCCTTTCTAAAATGAATTGCTTATCTCCTTTTTAATTGTTTATAAGAATACTATTAATGTAGATAATATATTTTGTATATTTTTTCTAAATCCATTCATTAATTATTGGTTGATAGAATCTGTACCATACAGGTAGTAAGCTGTCTGTTTATGGCGTCAATTATATCTATTTTTCCACCTCCTTGTTTTCCAGACACTTCTAATGAAGAAGGCCCCTCACCCACACAGTTCTGTTCATGGATCACTGTTGGGTTGTTTTTTTTTTTTTTTTTGCATTTATCACTAATCTCTCTGAAATTCCTATGATATTAATATAAGACAAAAGTCAATAATTTTTGTGTAAAGGAACTCCTCTCAGTTAACCCTTCATGTAAAGTGAGGATCCTTTTATTTTGCAAACAACTCCAAATTTATCACTTGTGATTGAACTTACACACACACCATGGGATTTTTAAAAATCAAAATATTAGCACATTTAAAAAACACTCTTTTATAATCCCAGTTGTATGTAAAGTTAGACATTGGGGAAACGCCAGGGAAGAAAAGTACTTAGGAACAACAAGTGTGGCTGGAGACAAGGCCTGGGGGGCTTCCCACTTCACCAGCCAGACTCCATCACCATGGAGACAGGAGTCAGCGCAAAATAAATAACTGTGAAGTTGCCAACATTGTGGTAATCCTCTCTGAGCTCCTGTGGGGTCTCATCTCTCCATCTGTTTTAGCTGCTGTAAATAGAAATCTCTCGTTTATACATTGAAACTCTCCTGAGAGGGCAGGCACTGAGGGCCTGGCTGCGTCCTTGGCTTCTCATTTTCCTTCTGCCTTGTGGCGCCATCACTACATCCCTAGCCTCATCCACCCTGTCACATCCCTACCCACCCACATCATTTGGGCCGATGTCTGCTTCATGATGAAGGATGGTGATGTCCCAGGTCCTAGGAAGAGCACTTACTTATTTAGACAACCAGGTTTCTTTTCATAATTTTATAACTTAAGTTCGTATAGTAATATCGTTTAGTTATTAATGTCTGGTTATTAATCCCAGTCTCTTCCTCTTGATGGTATCTAGCTGAACTTCTGAATGAAATGTTGACACCTATTAATTTTCCTTGGGAAAAACTCACTCCATTTCAAAGACTTATCTTGGTAAGATTCGTTAAAACAAAAGATTACAATTCTAAATATTTCAAGTAAGCTTATTGGTAGCTTGAACCCCTCACAATTTAAATTTTATAAGCACAGTATGCTGACTTCTGCAAGCTATGATTTGCTGAGCCTTAGTGTAGAGGGAGGCACCAGCGTCCCACCCTAATGGTTTGTCATGTGGTGGCTCCACCGCCATCCATCCTTTATAGACAAGACGAAACCCGGAGGGACAAACTGAGCTGCCCAGTGCCACAATTGTCTCCCTGTTCTTTTGAGATCTACCCTTTCTATGGGTTACTTTCTGCCCTCCTCCTCCTCCATGCTAAAATTACAAGAACAGACCCAGTCCTTTAGGGAGAAGGCAACAGCGGCCCTATCAGGATATGACAGGTAATGTGTCTAATCCCTGGTTCAATGTCCAGAAGCCATATGGCTGACTCCCAGCTAAATCACATCCACCAAAGTGGCACTTACAGAGGCAGCATGTTACACAGCTCCCATTTCTCAGCTGCTTTAGAACCTGGCATGGGGTTGGGGAGATTCATGGTGGGATTAGCTGTATATTAGTCAAGTTTGTTAAGGTAGCAAAATGCCTAAGATAATCAACTTATAAGTCTCATCTGTGCTCAGTTTCAGAGTTTTCTCAGTCCATGGTCAGTAGACAGAAAGAGAGGTGTATTAGTCAGGGTTCTCTAGAGTAACAGACCTGCCTTTCCCATTCTCAGACAGTTTCAGATCTGCCTTCCATGCAGGAATGCTGAACTTTCTCAGAACATATTTTATAATCATGATGTAAAAATGTACCATGTAAGTGGTTTGCCTATAAGGCAGTCTTCACTGGGAAGTTCTGTGCCCATTATACATGTACTATATGTGTGCCCAACGTGGTTCACATGCCCACAGCTCGCCCCAGACCTGTATTCTGTCCCACTTAAGCTTAGACTGTGCCTTTTTTTTTTTTTTTTTTTTTTTTTTGTCTTATGAATGGTAGGATTAATGGTCTTCCAGTTGGGTTATCTTGTATCTTCCAACCCCAAACTATATGGGTTTTTCTTGCTCTAGACATGGACAGCACAGCAGGAGGAACCCGGGAAAAGTGTCCTTTTGCAGGGCCAGGGAGCACAGTGTACACCTGGGCAGCCAAACCAAGCTCCCTCACTGAGTGTAGAAGAGCTTTGTGGGAATACAAGGTAGCTGGGCAGAGGAGAACCAACTGTCTTAGTCAGGGTTCTATTGCTGTGAAGAGACACCATGACCACGGCAACTCTTTTAAAGGAAAACATTATAATTGGGGCTGGCTTACAGTTCAAAGGTTTAATCCATCATTATCATGGTGGGACCTGGCAGCATGCAGGTAGACATGGTGCTGGAGAAGGAGCTGCAGAGTTCTACATTTTGATTGGCAGACAACAGGAAGTGGTCTGAGACATGAGTGGTATCTTGAGCATAGGAGACCTCAAAGCCCACCTCCACAGTGACAACACTTCCTCCAATAAGGCCACACCTCCTAATAGCGCCACCCCCTTTCTTTCAAACCACCACACCAACCAGTGGTCAGGAGGAAACCCCCTCTCGTTAAACCTCCCCAACAGCACATCAGGAAACTCTGGCTAGAGCCAGACACTTATTTTGATTTCATTTTTACCACCAGGAATAGTCCCCTGAGTGGATTTTAAATTTACCTTGTCTTCTGTTTTATTTTTCAGATTAAAATTCTTCGGCCAGAACGTTTAGAGAATTCAATAAGAAAGTTTATAACTGAAAAAATGGGAAGTGAATATATCCATGAGACTACAGTCAATCTGAAAGAATCATATAAAGAGTCCACCGCTCAAACGCCGCTGATCCTTATTCACTCCTACGGTGAGCTTCTGAACGGGGGAGCGGCAGGGAACTCCCAGCACCACAGGAACGGAGGGTGGCGCCTCACACCTATAATCCCTGCTCTCACTCAGTGGGGATGAGGGGATCATAAATTCAAGGTCCTCCTCAGCTTTGAATCTTTTTAGGCTAGCCTGTGCTACATGACCCTATCTAGAAAAATACCACCACCACCACCCCCAAAAAAAAGATGTGGAGAAATAGGTTCTGTGCCCAGTTATCCTGTTTAAAAGCTTCACATCCTTCTAACATCTTGGAAAAGGGGATTTAAACTTTAAACTACATGAAGGATGAATCTTTCTAAAAATATAAAAGAATCAAGATGAAAAAATGTATTTGAGCTAATTATCTTGTAGAAAATATCTTCACACACATTAAAAAGAGTTGGGGTCACTTGTAGATGTAACCAACCGTATTATTAAATAAGAAACACAGAACCAATGTAAAAGAGAAAGCCAAGAGGTCAGAGCTCAGAGCTAAAATCTTACCCTTCCTCCTGCGGTGCTCCTAGCTCTCCGAAAGAGACCTACTTCCTGTGTGTCTGTCTTTACATAGTCTTTTTGTTCTGCCTTCTCATTGGTTGTAAACCCAAACACGTGACTGCCTCGTCACTGCCTGTATGTACAGCCCTCCAGGTCTTAAAGGCATATGTCTCCAATGCTGGCTGTATCCCTGAACACACAGAGATCTACCTAGCTCTTCTACCAAGTGCTGGGATTAAAGGCGTGCGCCACCACCGCCCAGCTCTTGCTATGGCTCTAATAGCTCTGACCCCCGGGCAGCTTTATTTATTAACATACAATTAAAATCACATTTCAGAACAAATAAAATACCACCATAGTCACTCCTTAAATTTACTAGCTGTTTCCATTAACGGTGATCGTTAAAACGTCTGTGGTGGGGCATGTTTATCAGGGTCACATCGATCAGTTCCCAAGCCGTGGTCATTCGTATTTTCTCAGAGTAAACTGTTTCTGTAGGTCCTATTTTTAAAGAAGCACAAGGTGACTGTCGGAAGTAGGCCGTCCTTCTAACCCCCACGCTCCCACCTCTGTCGCTTACCTCTGCTCTGTGGGTGCTAAGGATAGCGCCCCCACTTGGACTCCACAGGCAGAGGCTTTGTCCAGGGCACCCCCTCGCACCAAAGGTCTTCTCATCAGACGGTGGTGCACCAGGCTATGAGCCTGACGCCTGCAAAGGTGCTGCCTTCCCCCGGCCCGGCAGCAGGCAGCCGGCCACCCCCTCCTGTCAACGGCAGTCCAGACTGAAGGAGACACACACCTCTCTTTAGGAGATAGCTAAGGTTTGACAACACACTTTCTTAACGCACCTTTGCTGCCGAAACCTGAGCACCAAGTCTCCATGCCCATGCCTATTTTCATCATGTTTAAAAACCATGTTAGCTGGGTTAGAAACTAGCGTGAGCAGTTATTGCATCCATCACCAGAGGATGACGGGACAAGTAGATACAGGCATGCCAGTCAGTCGTGCCTCAGCTCATGAGCAGCTGCCATTCCCAGATTTGGGGAAGCTGTACCACAGGCCAGCAAGTGGCGGACTTCAAAGACAAACTTTGAACTGAAGGCTTTAATTCCCAAACCCCAGTCTCTTGTGGCTCTGTCGTCTCTCATCACCCCCTCAGTAAGTGCAGGATTGCATCTGCTGAGGGAACTAAGTGAGTTTAAGGTTCCTCTCCATGTTGTCGCAGGGATTGACCTCAACAATATCCTCCTGAGATTTGCACAAGAGTTAAAAGGGACGACCCCGCAGGTGACCATGATTTCCCTGGGCCGAGGCCAGGCGGCCAAAGCGGAGGAGCTCATTTTTAAGGCGCTGGACAGCAAGCATCAGTGGGTCTTCCTCCAGAACTGCCACCTCGCAGCCTCCTTCATGCCAAGACTCTGCGCTATCATAGAGTCGTAAGTTCCGCGCTCGTCTGTCTGCGAGTGAATTAATTATCTGCACTGTGAAGTCGCACTGCAAAGGACCATGCCTGTTGTTCAGCTTTCTGGGGTCCCATGTTGGAACGCCAAAATGGTGGTGGTGGTTTTTTTTAACTATTTGACTCTTTGCTCTTTGGGGGCCTGCCACTCAGCTCCTAAATGATCACACAGGAGATTTTTTCTTACTTATGAATGTCTGGCCTTAGCTTGGCTTATTTCTAGCTCGCTTTTCTTAACCTTTTGCCTCTGGGCTTCTTCCTTTTCTTACTTCTGTATATCTTACTTTCACTCTTACTCCGTGGCTGGCTGTGTGGCTGAGTGGTTGGGTGGCTGGCCCCTGGTGTTCTCTCTCTTCTTTTCTTGTTCCTGCCCTTGTTCTCTTGCTCTTTCTTCTTTTCTGCCCAGATTTCTCCTCCTATTTACTCTCTCTGCCGGTCAGCCCCACCCATCCTCTCTCCTGCCTCACTATTGGCTGGTCAGCTCTTTATTTAGACCATGAGATGTTTTAGGCAGGCAAAGTAACACAGCTTCACGGAGTTAAACAAATGCAACGCATCTTTGCATCATTAGACAAATGTCACACAGCATAAACAAATAAATGTTCCACATCTTAAGATAATATTCCACAACAAATGTATACTGTGAGTGGCAACCCTGAAGCAATGTATTGGGCCACTGGAGAACACGCAGCTGCCCTCCACACTGTCCTGAGAGCACACTGGCTTTTCTTTTTTTCCTTTAAACAACTGTTGAGATGGTTATTTTCCATCTTATTTAGCATTTGCTCAGGAATAATCTATAACATGATTCTTAATATTTTACATGACTCCAAACAGCAAAGCACAGGACCTCAGGTCCAGCTCTCATGACTCCAAACAGCAAAGCACGGGACCTCAGGTCCAGCTCTCATGACTAAACAGCAAAGCACGGGACCTGAGGTCCAGCTCTCAGTGTTCTCCTCTAGGCCGGTCTTTCCCCTGCTCCAGCCTCCCCAGCTGGAGCCCCTCACGGCTGTGCTGTTCCCCACAGCACTGGTGTGATGAGTCCCAGAGGCTCAGCCTTCTTGTTTGCTGCATTTTGAAACTTGATTGTCCTAACAATGGGGGAAGAGTCAGCAATGTGAGAAATTAGAAACATTTTGGCCAATTCCATTCCACAGGTTTTTCCTCCCATTGTCTTTTACTGTCTTCCTAGTCACGTGGGTCAAGGGTGTGAAGATGCAATGTTGTCATTCTTATGCTTTGAGTATCTGAAAGGAGACTTCAGTTAAATTCTAACTGCTCAACTTAGATTTCTAAAGCCTCTTCTCATACAGTTTGTGTTATTCTGAGACTGTTGGTCTTTTAGCAGTTTAAAAACTATTGGGGGAAAAATCACACTTATGGAATCACCCAAGAATCAGAAGGCAAAGATTAATTAGTAATATGACTTTAACAGATGCGGACTATGTGCCACACCTTGCATTAATCATTTAAAACACGTGCAGGGCATCTGCTCTTTGTCGCTACTATTCCAGGCACTGGGGACATTGCACACCCAGATAAACACTGCAGGTGTTCAGAGCACCGTAAGCTGCAGATGGGGGTCCAGTAGCAGAGAAGAGTCTTCTCAAGAGAGATGGCCAGCATCAATTGGACACCATGTTGTGTTTTGCTCTTAGTTTGGTTTGACTTCTTTCTTTCTTTCTTTCTTTCTTTCTTTCTTTCTTTCTTTCTTTCTTTCTTTCTTTCTTTCTTTCTTTCTTCCTTCCTTCCTTCCTTCCTTCCTTCCTTCCTTCCTTCCTTCCTTCCTTCCTTCCTTTCTTTCTTTCTTTCTTTCTTTTTCTTTCTTTCTTTTGAAAGAGAGAGAGAGAGAGAGAACATGTAGTTGGGTGGATAGGGAGGTGAGGAGGGTCTGGGAGGAATTGGAAGAAAGAAAAGAATGTAGTCAAAATATATTGTGAGAAAGTCTAAGAAAATAACATTTTTAAATGGCTATAAAAAACTGAAAGATTCCTGAATTTAGGCAGTAAATAAAAAATTCTCAGTATGTTGCTAAGAAGGAAAAATACCAAGCTAGAAATAATATGTACAGTATGATATTTTTGTTTAAAAATAAGAGGAGACTCAAAAAAGGAAAAGGAAAGCATTTAGTGAAATTGCAGGTTATTTAGGTTATTTTTATTTTTCTGTTTTATTTTGTATCTAATGTGGTTTTGCTTTTCATTATTTTTGGCTTATTCTATAAAATTTTATTGCACTTGTGTGTGTGTGTGTGTGTGTGTGTGTGTGAGAGAGAGAGAGAGAGAGAGAGAGAGAGAGAGAGAGAGAGAGAGAGTTGTGTACATGAGCACATGCATCCCACAGCATACAATTGGCACTCAGAAGACAGCTTCTAAAGTCAATTCTGTGCTTCAAGCATGTGTGTCCTGGGGATCAAACTCAAGCTGTCCGTCTTGATGGCAAGAGACTTTATTACCCGTGTTATTTAAACATTTTAGAAGTAATTTTAGATCTGCATTACATGGACAATACAACCCCCTCTTCACCTGCTTTTCTGGTTCTCATTCTTATGATTAGCCTGCCACTGCTCCTAATTTACATAGACATCTTTTCTCTGAGTGTCTGAAAGTTAACTGCAGACACATGTCACTTGACACCTCAGTATCTCGCTGTGCTCGTCCATCTAATCAGCAGAACTCTGTCCTGGTAAGTCTGCTTTCTCAAGGGATCTTCTGTGGTAAGAACTCTTGGTCTAGGTCCCAAAACAGTGGTTTCTGTTGCACATCATTGTCTGTCTCTCTAGTCTACCTTAAAATGGTGCAACTCCTCAGTCTGTCTTTATCTTCCCATCTCTGATGGCTTTGAAGACACAGCCAGATATGTTGTGAATGTCCTTCGGCAGTGTCCATCCTGCCGTCTACAGGCTATGTGCACCCAGGATAGTGATGAATGCTGTCACAAAATAGCAAACTTACTTAAAATATTATAGTGGGTTTTAGGGTTTTGTTTGTTTGTTTGTTTGGTTGGTTGGTTGTTCTGGCCGTACCTTTGGTAACTCAATCTCAAGCATGAACCTCATTGACAACAATGTCATACTATAGTGTCAAAAGATGGACGTACTCGGGGCTGGAGAGATGACTCAGCGGTTAAGAGCATGGCTGCTATTCCAGAGGACCCTGGTTCAATTCCCAGCTCCCACGTGGCGGCTCACAGCTGTCTGTGACTCCAGTTCCAGGGGACCCAACACCAACAGCAAAACACCAATGCACATACAATTTTATTTAAAAAAAAAAAAAAGATGGACATACTCAAAAGAGTTCTCAACTTGAGCTTACACGCTATTTCCTCATATGTGGTTGACGGCTCTCTACAGACATGAAGATGGGAATGTGCTCAATCTTTGCAGTGAAGCTTGCCAAGAGGCGTACAGCGTCACTCTGCATTAATCCTGGTGATGCTAACTTTGATCCTGTGATTATAGTATCTGCCATTCATGGAAACCTTCAGACCTCTTTTATGTCCCCAATAGTTTCAGCATCCCGTGATCATTTGTGACTGAATTATTACTCCCTAATTTGCCAAATAGTTTTCTAACTGCTCAGCTTTATGACCTGCTTCTATCCCCAGCATCTCACACAGAGAGAGAATCATGTGACGACAGGCTACCAGAATAAAAAGTATCGCTCCTCTCCCGTCCATTGATTCACTCACACATCTGTGTCCATGTGGGTGTCGTCAGGACCCACTGTAGTCATTCGATTCAGCCAGGACCCACTGTCGCTTACTTTGCTCTTCAGTTGTCCGAGGTGTGACCTGGAACTCCCCCACCCCCACCCTGGCTTTTTGAGATAGCTCTGTAGACAAGGCTGATCTTGACCTCATGACCCCTGCTCCCTCCCACATGGAAAGAGGCACTGTCACACCTGGCTTTCACATATGTCGTATTTTGTAAGTTTTCCCAAGTTTCCGTACTGAGTATTTCTGACTTTTTTTTTAACTTAAGGGAAATAGAAATTGGTGAATCTTATTTACTTTGTGTACCGTCAAAGTCCTTGTGGTGAGTGGTATCTTTGGCATTAAAATGACTTGTAAGGTCACAGAAACATTAAAATGTTCTGACTCTAAGAAGATATTGCACAAATTTTTTAATATTTACATTTTTATTTTGCAGATTTAGTAGTCCAGATATGATGCTAGACCCTGACTTTAGGCTTTGGTTAAGCTCAAAATCCTATAGTTCGTTCCCAATTCCTATTCTTCAGAAGGGTGTGAAGGTAAGGACAAGCTGGTAAGATGCCAGTATTGGCAAGCAGCCCTGCTTGACTGTAGAGCATCGTCACTCCTTATTCTAAGTCAAGAAGAGCACTCCTGGTGTGCTCATTGTCAGCTTTTGCTAGGTGGGGAGGGGTGTGTTTTTAAAATGGCCCAGTGGCAGCCTTGGAGCCAAGGGGCATGGCGGGAAGTCACTCATACCATGTAGGCGGCACTCACGTGGAAAGTTTTATGAAGGGGGGAAGAAAGAGGAAACAGGTGGGGTTGAAAATAGAAGAAGGGGAGAGAAGAAGAGAGAGGAAGGGAGAGAGAAGAGCGAGGAGCTTTCTCTTAAAGGGAACTTTGTGCCTGTGCATCCACCATCCACAAAGAGAAACTGTACTTACCTGGGTTAGCAAGTGCATCCTGCCAGAGCCCCCAGGGGCAGGCCAGGTAATGCGTAAATGTTAGCAGGGAGGATGCTACCTTGGTATGTAGACCTGCTCTCAGTAACTCCTAGCTCTGACACTTGCTGCTCAAAGAGGATGCATCCAATTGTTGTAAACCAAGATGCACACATTTGTATAGCTTTTTCCCTTCTGCCTTCTTCTTTTTTCCCCTCAAGACACCGTCTTGCTATGTTGCCCAGGCTGGCCTTGAACTCCTGAGCTCAAATGATCTGCCACCTCAGCTTCTTGAGTATGTACCACTACACCCAACTATATGGCGTTTTCTTATTTCTATCCCTCTTAACCAGTTTATAGTCCATTAACTTTCTGGAAAGTTCTAGCAGAAGGCAAACAAACTATTTGCTAAAATAACCTTAATTGTAGGTTATGGCTGACTCCTGAAATCCAACTATGAAGACTTGCTCAATCCCGTTAGAGGCCCAGATGGCCTAAAGATAGACTCCAAATGACAGAGAAACCAACGAAGACTTGGAAAAATACTATGCGCAGACCACACTTAGCCAGGCTGATTCCTAAAACTAGAAACACCTCCCTGCAGCCCTGCTCCCTGTGGTTCCTTTCTCCCATAGCCGCTTCCCAACAGCCCCGCCAGACAGAGAAACCTGAGACTTTCAGCCTGTGACTTAAGATGCCCTGTTTACTTCCCAAGCCCAGGCTGACTATGACCTCAAGTGGCCTTTTCCCTTTGGCCAGGAGCAGAAGCTGGGAGGCAGTAGTAATAAAGGGAGACAGAGTTTCAAGGACATTTATTTTGATTAGGTCCATTGCTCTAATTCCACTTTAAGAGACTATCAATCAGAGAGAGAAAGAGAGAGATGGCTCAGCAGTTAGGAGCACTGACTGATGTTCCAGAGGACCGGAGTTCAATTCCCAGGCTGTCCGATGTCCAATTAAAAAAAAAAAAAGAGTCTATTAATCAAGGTGGGCATGGCAGTGCATGACTTTAATCCTAGCACCAGGGAGACAAAGCAGGAGGTGGATTGCTATAAATTCAAGGCCAGTCTGATCTGTATCTACATAGGGGGTTACAGGCCTGTTTCAAAACCAAACAATGGCTAGAGACCTTCCTCCTTCCCAAAATTATGTGCTTACATCCCTAAGGAAAAGTGTCTCTGCTTCTGTAATTCAAGAGGGGAAGAGGGGCGACCATGCCAGCCATCTGTATATGCTCTAGTAACATCTTAGGTTCCCATCATGCACAGGTGCATATGACTCCCACTACATCCCCCCTGAGAAACATGTGAACACACAAGGAACTGACAGAGTCATACATAAGTAATAAGTCTGATCTTGAATCTAGAAATCTCATATTCATGCACACACATACACTCACCCATATAATGTATCTGCATAGTCACACAGTATTTATGCACTGTATATCATAAGAATTACACAAGATACTTTAATGCCAATGTTTAAATCTATCGTACTCTGAGCTTAGGTTTATACATATATAAACTCTGTAAGCAGGTACCCATTAAGACCCTGGTTATCTCAGACTAGCATACACACACACATAATAAAACCCTCACAGTTAGTCACATGAGCTATTCCAGTGAAGCAGGCAACAGCTTGGATTCTCAGGGCAATCAGAATTCAATAGCACAAAATCACCACTCTCCCTTTGAATGTGACTGGCTGTGTCCAGTGGCTTAATCAGTGTCATTTCCTGTGGTTTGGCTCCCTGGCTGGGGTCTGGCAGTTCCTTCGCCTGGCCACAGCTTGGCTACCACTGATGTAGCCCACGGACAAACTCTGAAGTTCTGTTTTTCCCAGACATTAGGCTTGTGGTCACAGTAACAGCCATCATCCCAGTGCTGTGGTTTGTCTTTAAAATGTGAATTAGACAGACCTCTGTAAGCTCCAGGCCAGTCTCATCTACATAGAAAGATCCATGCTAACCATGGCTGCAGAGTTGAGACCATGTCTCAAAAATAAAACATGAATTAGAACGCGATACAACATCTGAAATGATCCTTTGGCAGAGGTGTTCAAGAGGCCTAGATTCAGACATGACAGTGGTTTTTTGGAAATGGCTCTCAGCCGTGTGTGTCACCAGTCCTGTGAGAAGTGGCCCTCCAGGGCTTGTTCCCACGTACAGTCACTTGGTCTGTCCACTCCCTTCTCTTTTAAAGATTGCCGTGGAACCTCCCCAGGGACTGAAAAGCAATTTACTCCAAATGTTTGGATATGGCGGGAGTGGAGAGGTAACAGAAGATATATTTGAGAAGCCTGATTGTGGACCATGCTGGAAAAAAATTCTGTTCAGCCTCTGTTTCTTTAATGCCGTGGTCAATGAAAGGAACGCGTATGGGACACTAGGCTGGAACATCCCTTACAAATTCAGTTCTTCAGACTTGGAGGTGAGTGTGGGCTCTGGATGGCAGGCAGGAGCTCGCAACAGACGCAAGCTGAGCTGAGCTAGTATGTGTCTCCACAGTGCTAGGTGTTTGCCTGGTGGGAAGAAAAGGCATTGTGTAAGTAGGAAATGAGGACTGTAAAGTCAGCTTTCTAATTTGCAGTAGAAGCCCCACCATTTGGGCTGTACAGAATTTCCTCTTCTAGACAAGTCAGATAACCCCAGGAGCCTAATTTCTTCAGGGAAATAAGCAGTGTGGGAAGGGAGCAAACCTCAATACCTACCCACAGAGTCATTACAAGATGCAACTCAGTGGCCCGGAGGGATGGTTCAGTGGTTAAGAGCCCTGGCTGCTCTTCCAGAGGACCCAGGTTCAATTCCCAGCACCTACATGCTGGTTCAAAACCACATGTAACTAGAGTTCTAGGGTATCTGGTGCCCTCTTCTGGCCTCTGTGGATATCAGGCGCACATGTGGTACTCATATATGGGCAAAACACCCATACAGATAAAATAAAGAAATCTTTAAAAAAAAAAAAAAAAAAGTACAACTCAGTGAATATAAGTGAAACATTTTGATCAATTCCTGACATGTAAATCACTATTCAAACATCTCTCAATATTCATTCAAAGCAAGAAGGATTACCCTGAGTCCCTGGGGCTGGGCCACTTAAGACTCTTCTGTAAGTGATTACCCTTCTTACAGTACTTTCTATTGTGCTTCTGGGCAGGACGTTTTCTTTTCTTGTTTGGGTTTTTGTTTTTTCAAGACAGGGTTTCTCTGTGTAGCCTTGGCTGACCAGGAACTCGCTGGTCAAAACAAAACAAATCAACAGCAAAAAATTCCCAAGTTAATTTTTTTGCAACTATGCTTCTGATGTAGAATGCTGTACCGTTTCTGGGTTTGTTATTTGTTGTTTGTTTGTTTGTTTGTTTGTTTGTTTTCTAGGTAAGTCTTGATTCTGCCTATGGCAGTAGTCCACCCTGGGCAGGAGGTCTTCAGTTCTTTTAAGTCCTCTCTGTGTGCCCATCAGGCATTTCTACCTTCACAAGAAGCCACATTCACATAGGAAAGCTCACGATTTCTGGGATTAGCCAATAATATCAAGAAGAATAGCTGCACATTAGAGATCTTCCAAAGACTATAAGCACAGGGTGCTCCTGCCCAGTCAAAGTGCAAACAATACACTACGGGAAGTTCCTGCACTGTGCATTAGAGAGCTGGGTGGGAAATGATCACTATCATCTATTCATTGAAGAGTGACATGAATTTAAGGAGAAACGGAAACAGTGTGTCTTTTTCCTCTCGGTGCTAACGACCAAACCCAAGATCTCATACATGATGAGTACCTTGCTAAAGTACAGAGCTATGCTCAGCCCAATGTGTCTTAAATTTAACAAAGAAGGAAACTGAAAGGAAATAACAACTTGAGTAAACTATCAAAAATAAGAGAAAGATAAAGTAAAAATAAAGAATAACATGAAGCAAAATGAAAAGACTATTATCACTTACTATGTTAAATGTAGTATGCACAAGGTCCTGGGTTCAGTCCCTAGCATGTCAATGGATAATATACTTGTGTTTTTTTTTCTTTTACCTGCATTTATTTTATGCTGGATTTATTCCTTGCCATAATTTTTTTTTTCTTTAGGTTTTTCTGGGATATCTTTTTCCTCTGTGCAACCTCCTTTTCTGGCTTCGGAACAACTTGTTCCTTTTCAGTGGGGATCATCTAAGTGTGGCAGGGGGAGCTCACGCTCGGGTTAACGCGGCCATGAGCTCTGGAAGTTCATCAGCACATCTTGGCTGCTGTGCTCACCTGGATGTGTTCAGTGACTAGAGAACCTGCTTCTGAACCCTCCGGTTCAGCATTACTCTCTGCGTTTTTAAGTCTGTGCAGCAAAACCTCAGCACTCCTTTTTGGCCACTGCACCCTCCGTCCATGTCCACTGTCTGGCCTGGGTCTACCTACCGACTCCACCACTGCACCCTCCGTCCATCTCCACTGTCTGGCCTGGGTAGACCTACCGACTCCACCAC